TTCTGTGAAAGTTTGGTCAAAATCCGTTGAGAAATGTAGGAGGAGTTGCGCACAGAAGAAATTGTTTACGCCGCCCGCCCGCCCGCCGACATACCTCAGTCTAATAACCAGTTTTTTCCTTCGGAAAACCTGGTTAAAAAACATGTACATAACACAAATGACTACTTCTAAGTTATCAGATAAAATAATAATTTTCCTCTCAACTTAATGTAAAACATACATATTGATATATTTATATTAATATAATAGCAGGATTCATTGTTTTGCTGTTCAATCAGTCAAACCTCCTATAAAAATGAAAATGTACCAGGAGTATAAAATATTGTATAATGATATATAGTATTTAATTCTGAATGAGACATACTGACATTGTGCAACTAGAGTCACTAAATAAATTGTTAAGAAACAGTCAGTTCATTATACATTTTTTATCATAACAAAATAAAATCTGATTAGAACTTTGGCTAAACACATTCCTTAAATTTTGAAAGCCTTAGCCTAAAGTATACATGTACCAACTGTATTTAAACTTCTTCAATTTAAATTCTGAGTCTAAGCTTAAAGTAAACATGTACTAACTGAAATTCTTCTTCCGTAATAATAACAACAACAACACTTTCATAATTTTTGGACTAAAATAGACACTAGGATAGATAAAATGCCAATCATCATAATTGAGCCGCGTCCTGACAAAACCAACATAGTGCGTTTGCGACCAGCATGGATCCAGACCAGTCTGCGCATCCGCGCAGTCTGATCAGGATCCATGCTGTTCGCTTACAGACCCTATAACAAGTAAAGAAACTGATAGCGAACAGCATGGATCCTGATCAGATTGTGCGGATGCGGAGGCTGGTCTGGATCCATGCTGGTCGCAAACCCATTATGTTGGTTTTGTCGTGACATGGCTAATATCTGAGTGTGATTCTTTTAACTGTCTATACAGTGTACATTAGTATAAAGATTTGTGCAAAAAAGGAAGACAGACCAGGAATATGCCTTTACCTGCTGTAACTGCTGTAACTGTGTAGTTTGACTGCTACTGCCAATATAGAAGAAGGTCAACCAGCAGATCCATGCTGCAGCAGTCTGACCAGGCTCTATACTGTTGGTAGCTTAATTTTGGTATTGTTGTATTGAAATACCTTAACATTCAAATGGACTGTTCCAAATTCAAAGCAGGATAAATCTATTACACAAATTCAGCATGTTAAGAAAAAACATACTGACTTTCATTGTTAACAATTCCCCAATTAAAGGAAAACATGCATGACAAGCCTGGTGGTAAAAATTAAAGCTTTGCATAAAAAGAATTTATGGTAATGTACATTCCATGCTTGAGTTACAGGTTCTTGTCACTGATATGCCAACACTAACATCACACTAAATGCATAGCTGAATATGATTGTTGCAAAATTTTGGATAGTCGAGCTAAAATTAGAATGGTATATGATTTTATGTTGTCGGTTAAGTAAGAAATTGGTTTCAACACATTTTGGTTTAGAAAAACTCAAGTTCAGTAAACATCTCAAAACAAAAATCAAGCACTGAAGAGATATATTTATGACATGTATATACAAGTTCATACTGCCACTTATTCATAACATGACATTGGCGAACTAAGATATGATATAATGAAAGCTTCAACCTTTAAGCATTGGACAATAAGCTTCATGCACGAATACACACAACACACAGTGCCACCATAGACTAGCCTATAAACAACATTTTTATCACATACCCGTGCTTATTTTGCAACTGCGTAAAAACAGTATTGCATATATTTTAATGCAACATCATTTGTGTACAAACATAGTGTGTACAGACTCACTGAACGTCAGCATTACACTATAAGCTTGTCAATAAAAAGTGATTACTGTTTTGGATGTGTGATAAATAGAAAATTATTTTTGTGTAGCTTCATTACTTAATTTATGGAACTTATATGCCTGTCAGAGGCTTGCATGTGACAGGCTCGCAAAATATAATTTAATTTAACTTGTTCAATAAATTCAGTATTGAACCTACACTCATTCAGTATCTTCTATATAATATATAAATTATCATAGTCTTAATACATTTGTCAATTTACATTAAGGTATGCTCAACAATTTCAACATATGTAGATTAACTATGCAAAACACATTGGCATAGTTATCAAAAATCACAGTGTCTCATGCTTAACAACATATCAATTGTTATAGTTGTGATACATTCATAGTAAATTCTGTCAAGTTATGTATCTCTGACTAAATATATACAAGATACATGTAGGATAATTTAAAAGTTTATCATCAATTTTACATGAGATGATCACTATACAGTATAAGATGGTTTATTTGGTATCGTAAAATACATTTACATAGAGATTTATGTTAATTTGAAAGATAATAATAAAAGCATAGCAAACATTATAAATTTTAAACAAAACTGACCTACACTAGTATAGTATATTTATTATGCTAATGTTTATCAGATCATATGTTCATTGCACCAAAGTTTTGCCATTATTCTTTCAGACTATGATTTTTGGAAGGTGATGAATAGCTTATTTACTTAGTCATTTCAATATCCTGCATTTGCCCAGGAGCAATAATATCCAAATATCTAACAATTATAGTTAGTTGCTATTTAAGTACATCAAAACAAAACATTCTGTAAATTAGAACAAAAACTTGTAAAAAAACTATGTTCCAGTTAATCAATATTTTGAAGAAAAACAAAAATTTTAAATGTTTTATAAAAAACATGATTTTTAGCATTTCTTTATTGGATATATTTGTTTCTAATGCATACAAATACTTCTAGACTAACAGGCAGGTAATACCATATCAGTACAGTAGTGTAAATGTGTAATATATAACTGTGAAGGTAGGATAGAGACGTTTTGAATGACTTAACTCTGGGCATATCTTCCCCTTAAGAAATGGGTTTTCATGTTTTTCATACTGTCCTTTGGACCCTAAATTCTTACCTCTTTCATTGTATAAGTAAAGTTATGAAATGAATAGTTTTTATCTTCACACTAAGCTCCACATTGCAAGATTTATGCTGTCAAGATTTTTTCTCAGTGTCAAAAATTAGCAAGCACACTCCACAAACATAAAAAGAGGTATATTTTGGCAGGGGTTTTACCATTTGTTATTTCAGGGCAGAAATTTCACTAGATATTCGCTGGACATAAATTAAAGTTCCTGTATTCTGCAGAATTTGAGACAGTTATAACTATCAAATAACCTTTACAATATTTACCTTTTTATACAGATACGAAATTACAATTTGTTTCGGCAACTTTGGCCAGAATAATTTTATAGATATTTATCTTTACTCATAAATTTATTTACTGAACTAACCCATAATCTGCTGGAACTAGTTATCTCCCTTTACCACAAGAATAGAGCCACCCTGACTAATAAGGACCTATACTGTTGGTATCTAAATTTTTGTATTTTGATATTGAAATCCCTTTGACTTTGAATGGACTGTTCCAAATTCAAAGCTGGACAGTTCCATTACACAAATTTAGCAGGTTAAGGATAAAATAACATACATGTAAATTATCAGGATGGCACAGACAAACATATCACAGAAACATAATAATACAATAACCAATGTTATACTTGAAAAAAAAATGATCAAAGTATAAAATATAACGAAAATATAAGCTATATCTGAAAGAAATGAAGTGGTTAACACTTACTAATTTAATGATCGCTAGCCGCATGGATTCAAACCCTGTTAGGGGCAAGTCGTTGTTTCCTTGAGCAAGAAACTTTATAATCATTGCTCAGTACTGGTTGGTGGTTCGAAAGTATGTCTATAAGCTTATAGCTTCCTACACAATCAAACTAAAATAAATTCTATATAAACCAAGGAATGAATATTTTTGAAATGTGCCAAACAAATTTTAGGAACAACAAGATTCATACCAATTTCATGAACATTTGAAAAAAATTAATTTAAACATAAAATATAGTGTAGGGAACAAAGTAAGTAATTTACACATAGAAAACAACACTTATATTCTATGTAAATCACCAAAAAGAGATCAAAATATTTGCAAATAGCCTTTACTGCATAAGTCACATAAAAGAAATATAGTGATAAATATAACAATATTAGTCATTATGGCGCAAAAAGGGTAAATCATTATTTGAATTTTGAATCTTTTTACTTTTCTTAAAATGTTGGTACATTTTTCTCACATTTGATTTTCTTGAAATATTTTGGCTTGTCTAGAAGTTTTCTGCTTCCAAGTTGTACAATGAGCTTCGTTATTTGAGTTTTTAAAATGCTCTAATAAAGGTTTGTTTTTTTCTTACAAAAATGAGGTAAAAAAAAATGGAATTGCATCATTTTTCTGAATCTGTAAATTTGTAATTGAAACAAATGGCACAATCAATTATGTGATTCTTTGAATAAAAATTGTTAAGTATTTCAAGATTTCTTGACAAAAATTATTTTACAAGGGATTTATTTGAAAGGAAGAATTCCTTAAAAAAATCGTTTGTAGCAGTTAACTCCCTTGATATACGAATGATGTGAACAAAATGTGGAAAGTTTGACTAGGTTTTAGTTTGTACAACCAAGTTAGGATGTAGTATCAAAATTGAAAAATAAAGACATAAGTTTTACTTTCATAAAAAATAAAAAACCTATTGCAGTTAAAAAAAAAAAAAAAAAAAAAAAAACAACAAAAAACAAACAAACGAAAACCCATAAAACAACTTAAATCAAAAATGAACCCAACATGTTTAACAATTATCTCTTTCAATTAAGTATTGGGTAACATACATATGAACCGCGTCATGACAAAACCAACATAATGGGTTTTGCGACCAGCATGGATCCAGACCAGCCTGCGCATCCGCGCAGTCTGATCAGGAGCCATGCTGTTCGCTATCAGTTTCTCTACTTGTTTGTAAAGCGAACAGCATGGATCCTGATCAGACTGCGCAGATGCGCAGGCTGGTCTGGATCCATGCTGGTCGCAAACCCATAATGTTGGTTTTGTCGTGACACGGCTCATATCATGTTATATAAAAGCTGCCATGTTAATACTTGGAAAAAAAGATATTGGTTTATAAGATAACACTAGCCAACTAAAATCAAAGAAGTGAGTACAATGTTAAGGTTCTTTTAGTTTGTTTTTTCAAACAAGTATATTTTTTGCAATTATCACATCACATTTCACATCACATTCTCAGCATTGCATGGTGTAATTTATCTATGATACACACATAATTCGGGATTGCAGGAGTTAATGAGAAAGATGAATGATTACAAAATACAACACCATGTTAAATGTTCATTTTTTTCAAACAAAACAAGCAACATTCTCTTCCTGTCTTTCACTCTCTTGATAAGTATAGTCTTTTTCAAAGTATTTTCACTTCTTCAATCTTCTTCTATCACAGTATAGTTTGTTTCAGAAAAAGATGACATAGACCCATCCACGCCATCCACTGTAGTAGATTTAAATTCTTGATACATCACCATCTTGAGTTGTGCTTTATACTCATACGGAACTTGAAACATCGGACCGTGCCCAGGTACGATCCAATCTGCGAATCGTAAAATTTCTAATCTGTTCTGTTGTTGAACCTCGGGAAATTCGCTATTTTCCTGCCAGAGAGAGAAATCTTCGAGGTCCTCTAGCCGTTCAAACAAATCACCTGCATAAAATAAAGATAATATATGAAAGTCAAACCTTCACAAATAATGAATTTTAATTTCAATTGCCCTCACACATATGGAATCTTTAACTAGTAAAGGAATCACAGAAAAGGTTTATTCACCCTTCTTACAATGTACATGTATGTTAAAAGTGTCCAAAGAGAAAAACAGGTTTCACTTTGAAATGAATGAAACAGTTTGAATTGGAATTTAAACTTCACATTTCAAGGCCATTCTTGCAGTGTTAACCTATTGACAGGACTATAATTTCAAAATAGATTTTTTAACCTGACATGTACACAAGCAATTGAAACTTTGGGTAAGAACAAGATTTTTCTTGAATTTTTTACACTCTTGAGCACAAGTAACTCTTAAACTCTAGCAATACTGAAGATATATTTGAGAGGTATTTGGGAACACTATCAGTAATCACTAAATGTCTTTAACATTGTAAATCATTATAAAATCTTTAAAAATACAAGTTTACAAGTTTGACAATAATTTATAAAGTAACAAACCAGTGATTGCAACAGTTCCTTTCTTGGTGTTTCTCACGATTACACTAACATCTGAGCCTGTATGACCCGGGGTAGCTATAACTTCTACATCATCGTCTATCTCGTATGGTATGCCCTAAATAACACAATGTTGATACAACAAATTTAGCCATTTGTTTTTCAATAATATCTTCATCATATAATCATATGAGCTGTGTCACGACAAAACCAACATAGTGGGTTTGCGACCAGCATGGATCCAGACCAGCCTGCGCATCCGCGCAGTCTGATCAGGATCCATGCTGTTCGCTTACAAACCCTATTACAAGTAGAGAAACTGATAGCGAACAGCATGGATCCTGATTAGACTGCGGGGAGGCGCAGGCTGGTCTGGATCCATGCTGGTCGCAAACCCACTATGTTGGTTTTGTCATGACGCGGCTCATATAAGGAAATTCAAAATCATTCTCCTCCTAGATAACATGAAGAGTAAATATAGCTGTTGACTATACTAAGATCTTGGTTATCTCTAAATATCAAGATAAACTATTTAACATGTACAATTTATAAGATATTATATCCATAATGCATTGCTAAAAATGCAATACATGTGTAAGTAAATACTGAATACATAAATGCACTAGAAAATATACTTCTGCTCTAAATATTATTTTTCCTTTTTTTAGGATTAGTAAAAGTGGGCCAGTAATGAATATGGAAAAAACAACAACAGCAAAAATAACATCCATCAAGTATGTTATTATTAACTAAATGGTAATAATAATATATTTACAGAAAACAACTAGACAAAAGTAATAATTAATTCATTTCTTCTAACTCAAAGAAAATACTTTGTAATATAAAAGCAAAAGTTGTGAAGGAAAATAAAATTATAACAAAAATTACTTTATGTCAAAAGAAAACGTAAAACAATGTAATTAAAATTTCTGGGTAATGATAATTATACTTTGGCGAAAAAAATCACAACAAAACAACGAAAACGAAAATTGCCATGCAGAAACTTGGAACTTTAAAATTTTTCATAACAGAGGAAAGTATCATAATACAGGGTCTTTCAAATAGAATTTAAAGACCCTGCATAATATTACATTACTTCACAGACTGATATTTTTTCTCATTTTTTATAGTATAAAATATTACAATGATACTGATTTATGAGCACTTGACAGCAAGATTTCAAAATAAACTATCAGTAAAGATGATAAATATACTGTTATATGAAACAATCATCCTACTATAAGGTAAGTTTTAAATGTGATCAATTTCTGTTCAAAATAACAAGATGACTCGCATTCACGACCAAACCAACATAGTGTTTCTACAAGCATGATCAGACCAGCTCGCTCGCGCAGTCTAATCAGGACCATGCGTCCCATCATTTCTTACAGTATTAGCTGGTAAAACACATGGATCCTATCAGTATGCCGATTCGCAGGCTAGTTTGGATCCATGCTGGTCTCAAACCCACTATATTGGTTTTGTCGTGACGGGGCTCATTAATACAGCTGGTTAATACCATTCATGTCTTATAATTAATTAAGCTAAGCTGATGGGTCAAATACGTCAAACTTCAAAGTTATAGAAATATCAAAAGGTACCTTTTGAAACTCATGCTGTATATATAAGTCTCCTTCACAAAGGTCAAAGGATACTATATGTTTAGCTTTGGTAAATAAGTTGATGTTGCCGACATGGTCAGAATGACCGTGTGTACATACTGCATACTGTATTTGATCTGCCGTTACACCATGACGCTTCAAACCTAATAGTAAAAGCACCATATACAGATTGCTATTTATGGCATAATTCTTTTTTAAAAACACATTAACAGCAATGTTTGCTTGACTACAAAACGGCTACGTGACCTAAATCCTGCTATATATCATGATTTGGCACACCCCTTGCTAGTGTCAATCAGACCTATACAACCGATATGATGATTAACCTAAAAACAATAACAAGTAACATGTAGGGTTGTCACTGGACATCACAAATTCGAAAAATATGGTTGATTTAAGACTGTTTCATAATTTATAATATTGATACAATTCAAATCCCATTTCTCCCTGTCATGTGTTTGTCTGGAAAAAAAATCTGTTCTCTCACTGTTTCTTGGCTTACTTGAAACTTACGGTAATTTTTAGAGGTCAGTAAGACATAACAACAAGTTCATTGCCAATATACAATATGCTTTCTTTTAGTCATATAATGTATTATAATGTTGTATTTATGATGATGACTAAAACAGGATAATTTAGGGTGTCTGTTTGACCCTTGAAATGACTCTTTGACGCTTCAAATTTCCAAAAGGCCCAATTTGACCCTCAGAATTTTAAATGGAGGGTCAAATTTTGTTAAAATCATGCGTATTTAACCTTGTAACTTAGTCAAAATGACCCTTGGGATTTCATGGCTAGTGAGAATTGTTTATCACCGTAATGACACTTCTTTTACATTTATTCAAATGGTTTCCACAGTACAAGTAATTAAGTTTAATATATCGCTGAAATTCAGCGCCTGACATATTTTTACAAAATTTTCCATCAATGACAGCTCTTGTAACATGCTCATGCTTTGTAACACAAGAATCATGCACAAATTAATGCAAACTATTCGCTCAAACATACAACATGTAAATCAATAACAACCACAATCCTGTGTCTACCTCGGTAAAACCGTGCCGATGGTAGTGCTGATGTTGGCTTACTTCTCCCGCTACAATACCAACGGCTCTACCAAACAGGTTCAGGTTTCCCACCTTATCGCCGTGCGCTCTTGTGCACACAACATAATGTATATCATTGGGCTCAAGATTATGATTTCTCAGAGCTGTGTGTTAATAGAGTAAAATATGCCTTAACAATATGGCTACCAAGTTTGCAAAATCTTACAAATTATAAATAATTCACTATAAAAAAGAATTTTCATTATCATATTGCATTCATAAGCATACACAGTTTAAAAAATGTAATTGTATCAAAATGATGACCATTTCTGTCATTTTACAGTTAGTATCAAAATTATCTTGAAATTTGTGTGATGATAGGTGGCTTAACTCAAGTATCACTGAGTTGTAAGTTCCGTCAACACCACCACTATAGAATTGCTCAACTAATCATGTGGAAAGAGACCCTGTTGTAGTTTTCACACCATCACTGTTGGTGATTAATAACCCCACCAGCAACTTTGACCTTTTAAAAAATAAGTAGTCTGAAGAAAAATTTGAACTCAATCTATAGTAAATGAAGTATCAACTGTGTAAAAAGAATAATTTCAATTAATTGTAATCACAACCAGGATCTTCATATAAACTTGCTATACACCAAGTTTGATTACAATATCTCATTCCTAACTTAATTTATGTCCTGGAAACCATTTTTCTATTTTTAGTTATGGTGACCATGCCTTTGGCCCCAGAGGGTCCAAATGCAATACCAACCGGGGTCTTCATATAAGCTTGCTATACACTAAGTTTGATTACAATATCTCATTCCTAACTCTAGTTATTGTCCGGAAACCATTTTTCTATTTTAAGTAATGGTCACCTTGACACCAGGGGGTCCAATAACAACCTGAGTCTTCATACAAGCTTGCTATACACCAAGTTTGATTACAATATCTCATTCCTAACTCTAGTTCCTGTCCAGAAAACATTTTTCTTTTTTTATCAATGGTGACCTTGCCCTTGACCCCAGGGGGTCCAAATGCAATACCAACTGGGGTCTTCATACAAGCTTGCTATACACCAAGTTTGGTTACAATATCTTCATTCCTAACTCTAGTTACTGTCCGGAAAACATTTTTTTATATTTAGTAATGGTGACCTTGACCCCAGGGGTCCAAATGCAATACCAACTGGGGTCTTCATATAAGCTGCTATACACCAAATTTGATTACAATATATCATTCCAAACTCTAATTATACTCCGGAAACCATTTTTCTATTTAAAGTAATGGTGACCTTGACACCAGGGGCTCCAAATGCAATACCAACTGGGGTCTTCATATAAGCTTGCTTTACACCAAGTTTGATTACAATATCTAATTCCTAACTCTAGTTATTGTCCGGAAACCATTTTTTAATTTTTAGTAACAGTGACCTTGACCCAAGGGGGTCCAAATGCAATACCAACTGGGGTTTCCAAATAAGATTGCTATATACCAAGTTTGATTCCAAACTCTATTTATCGTCCGGAACCATAAAGTGGACTGACTGACAGACAAGCTGACTCCTATATACCCACCCCATAAACTTTTTGTGGGGGTATAATAAATCACTTAAAAATAACGATGCAGAGTTGATTTAGTCTTCAACATTTACAAACGTAAATTCTAAGTCAAAAAAGGGGCATAATTCTGTCAAAATGCTTGATACAGTTAACTCCTCCTGTCTACAGGTTGGGTCATGATAGTGAACAAATGTGCAAAGTTTCAAAGCCATATGTCAATGGACTTTGAAAATATTGGAGGTATTACAGAAACTTTAACATAAGTGGTTACGCCGAGTCGGCCAACGTCAACGCTCGGGTCACTAGGATAGCTCTCCTTATTCTAATCAAATAGTCAAGCTAGAAAGAGTTGTAAATTAACAAATAATTTAAGTAATAACAATTAAATGTTAAAATATCTAATATTAAATGTTTTTATTAAATAAGAAAAATATTGGTTGTAAATATATTTTAAATTTAGGCAGATTACGAGTTTCTTCTTTCACAATATTAAGGAAAATAGTGCAAAATCCTCACAATTTCAAGCAAAATTGCACTTGTTTTTCACAATCAAGGGGAAAAAGCTGTTCTTGCCTTGAATGAGCAACTTCACACACATTGCAAAGCACTGGCTTGTTCCAGGAACAGGCGTCTAAAAGCTTATAAATTCCTACACATTGGAAAATAAATTCTGTATAAACTAAAAATATTTTAGTAACACAAACCTTCGAGTATAAGCTCTTTATCCCAAGGATTACCAGTATCAACAATTACATTTCTTGGCCCTTTCAGCAAGGTAATAGATCCACATGACCTCTGTTTACCTGAAAGCAGTCAAGTCATATCATAAATCTGTCAATATTGTCTCAAAACAAGAGGGCCAAGATGGCCCTAGATCGCTCCCCTGACCAATCGACTTCATTTGAGATATGTCTTGGACAAGCATCCTGACCAAGTTTGATGACAATTGAGTAAAAAATATGACCTCTAGAGGTTTAACAAGGTTTATCCATATTTGGGCAGTGTGACCTAGTTTTTGACCCCAGGTGACCCATACTCGAACTTGACCTAGAAATCATCAAAACAAAGTTGCAGACTTATTTCCAGGACATTTGGATAACAACCGTAGCCACTAGAGGGTTCACAAGATTTTTCTATTTTTAGCTCCTGTGACCTAGTTTAACATCAGAGATGACCAATGTTCAAAATCCTCCAAGCAATTAGGTAAGCATCCTGAGTCAAAGTTTGAGTCAAAAATTTTACCATTAGAGTATTAACAACTTCAAGATTTTTCCATATTTGGGCAGTGTGACCTAGTTTTTGACCCCAGGTGAACCATAATCGAACTTGACAGATATTTGGATCAAAACAAAAGCCACTAGAGTGTTAAAAAGATTTTTCTATTTTTAGCTCCAGTGAACTAGTTTTTGACCCAGATTCGAACATGACCTAGATTTTATCAGAACACCCTTCCTGACAAATTTCCAGAATATTTGAATCAAAACTGCAGGCAGCCACTAGAGGAGTAACAAGATTTTTCTATTTTTAGCTCCTGTGACCTAGTACTGACTGAAGATGACCCATATTCGAATTTGGCCTGTATTTCATTGAGACTAACATTCTGACATAGTTTGATTATGATCCAGTCAAAACTGTGACTGCTAAAGTATAAACAACTCAATTGTTGACGACACACAACGGCAGACGCCGGACATAGCCCCATCACTATACCTCACCTTGACCACTTCGTGGTCAGGTGAGCTAAAAAAAACAACATGCCAAATATCTAAGCTCTTGGCACTGTAGTTCAACAAAAGAATACTTCAATGTATTTTCCTATAAAAGTTTACATAAACCAAGTGACCCCACTGGGGGTTGGCCAATTTTGTATCCAGGAGCATGAATTAAATAATTTTCATTAAGGACCATAAGGGGTACTACATGCCAAGCATCTAAGCTCTAGGCATTGTAGAGAAGAATTTTAAGATATAATTATAATACAATTGAATATGCAATACAATAGTATACATACCAAGTGCATTGTAGTTTCTGAGAAGAAATTTTTAAAGATTTCATTTTTACAGTCTGTTTTAGATCCTGTGAAAGACTGAAACCATTTTACATTGTAATTTGTATAACCTTTTGTAGAGGACCACCTAAGGATCAATTCTGTGAAATTTGAACAAAATCCATTAAGTGAGAATATGTGTTTAAAGAAATTGTGGACAAGGAGGGACAACTAAAACAGACACAGTGCCATTACAAAAGCTCAAAACAACATACAATTTAATGTAAATAGCCCGAGAAGAAAGTCTAGTAGCTTTACTTTTGAAAATTCTAGTAATAAAAGAAATACCTGGACCTTCCTTGACATTGTACCCATCTTTCAGTACATGAACTTCATACATGGTTGCTTACCTATAAAAAATATATCAAATCAATACATCAAATCAATACATCAAATATGCTTGCTTTAAAATAACCTGTGAGACTTACTAGTAACCCTTAGCTGTTGGTGGCACCTGCTACCCATGTGACCAGTGCAGATCAAGATCTGGCACATCTTTGCCTTGTCTGAGCATCGTGTGCACTGTTCACATTTTAGTTCCTAAATATTTTGAAATCCCTAAAAATAATAAATGGTTTTGTCCAGATTGAAAGATGGCCAATCTCATTTAAGATATAAACTCCAGATTATTAGTCCACAACTCTGCCTCAATGCATTTCAGTTAAACATATTTTACATCAATTGATAATAACTACCATATACTAAATAGTAAAAAATATATTTCATCAGGAAAAGTATATAACTGTGATTTTTTTTTTCAAATTAAGACATATTCAACACAGTCAGACTTTTGAGGCTGAGCTTTGTGCTGTTTATTAACCTTCTTGTTAAGCTTCTTGAATTTTAGAATTGATAAACATTCTATCATTGCTAACTCCAAGTGATCTGGATTTTTGTTTCTGAAGTTTATCAATTGCACTATGCTGTAAATTTGTGCTAAACCCCATTTGCATAAAGTTTTCTTATTTGCTTCATGATGACTTGTACAAAATAATTTACAATGTCTATCAACAATGTTAAATTCCAACCATTTAAATTGTTCTTATCGAGTTTTCCTGAATGTTCTTTTGGTGTTTAGTGTCAGAAAGTCCTAAGTAAAACAGGCTTTTAATTGAGCGGTAATAAATTGCTAGTCAACAGCAAATAGACGACCTAGAATGTTCGATATCGGCGACGTTAGTGCTAATTGGACAACAATTCAAATATGCCCAGAATTTTGACCAATGAAAATTACCAAAACAGTAGTATAATATTTTGAACAAAAACAGTGTTTTCTATTTTTCCCTGCAGAAAATAAAAGATTTTACAAAACATAAAGAAAAGGCATAGATAATGAACAAATAAGCCACCTGCAAAACAGTAATTTAAAATGTCCATTCCTACTAACCCGTGAAATTACAATTTCCACAGTTCAATCTTCATATAAAAGTGTGACAAATCGGCATGTGTACAGAATTACTATTGTTTACAAATTAATGAAAATCATTGTGTACATGTCATCTGCAGTGTATATTGACTTGCGGACAACTTTTAGTTTCACTTCTCGCTATCAGATGCAAACACGAGCGTACCCATCAGTGATTGGCTTAAACTGCTTTAATATGGATAATTTGTCACCCCTACTGTACCTGGGGCTAATTGCTTTGTTGATGCAAAATTCTTGTGTCGGCACTTATTAATTGACAAACAGTAAAGTTTCATGCATGCATTGTCAATTTTTCTTGTCAAGGGTTATAATGCATTAACTGTGGCTGATAAAGTAAACACAAAGCAATGCACAGTCAGTATATATACATAGTAAAGACTATATGCTGTGGAGTTTTCAGGGCTGTTAAAAAGCTGTATGCTACGTTGTTTTTTTTTTTAGAATTAATAATATTCATAATTATTATTACTGGTAATAATGAGGATATTCTGAAGACAACATGGTCATTTCGTTTAAATGGTCTGAAATTAGTAATTATTTACATACAAAAATTGAAATAATTTCCTTTAAATGTGTAACCGTGCAGTGATTTTTCTTTTATTTCAAAAATTGAAATAATTTCCTTTAAATGTGTAACCGTGCAGTGATTTTTCCCCCTGTATTTTACAGTCGAATAAAGGCTGTTTCCCCTAGCCCAAAAAGAGGTATATTTTCACCTAAAAATGCTAATATTTTCCCCTAACATGCCCTGCGCACATTCTTCATGAGAGAAGACAGAAAGCTGTCTCTATAGATAGCCTCTGCTATTAACACCCCAGTTACACTGAGCCATCGGTGACTGATCGGTAGTTTTCTTAGCCAAATTATGGAGTGAACAGATGACAACGTATTGTACACCGATATCACCTATTTTCCACCTATCAACTGCTATTGGGGAAAGATAAGTTTTATCTGTGAAAAATTACCAATTGGGATTTTTTAACATGTTTAAAATTCTTGAATGGTGAAAATTTTTTACAAATAACCAACAGCAACCTATATCACGAGATATGCAAGCTCTTAATCACCGATATCACCGATTGGACCAAGATAACCAAATATGAATCACCAGCCATATCTGACGGAAAGTGTTTAACCACTGATGACTAGCTATCAAACACCGATTAATCAGTGTTTCTCCCGATTTAGCTCCAATTTACAAACGATAAAAACCGATAGTATTTCAGCATTTTTATCACCGATCCAACCCCGTTTAAGTTTGCTTTCTGTCACTGATGGCCGTTTACACAGAAAACCAGAAATAAAAAAAATGACAACCGATCATAACAGCGAGTAAATTTAAAATTAAATGACCGATTGGGGACCGACCGTCTGTGTAACTGGCCTCTAACCATGCATGTAAAACTGGACTCAAAATCAAAGTGAAAAATTTAACTAATAAATTATTGAATTTTCTGATTTCATGCGCTATATTTTCCCCTTCAGAAAGCCACAGGTTGTTTTGAAAATTGGAAAAAAAATCACTGCTGTGGGTCCTAACTTTTGAGTACTTGACATTTATACTGGAAGAATACATAATTTTAGTCAAGACAAAAACAAGGTTTTGTGCTTGTAGTCACTAGTGCTTTAACAAGAGTTTTATTAACATGATTAATGATTTTACATCTGAAAAAACAACTTTCAAATAAATATATACTGTAAAATTTGTAAATTTGTATTGAAAATTGATGCCAAAGTCGTTGCGATACTTAAACAAAAATAGAATTTTTGGATAAAATGGCTACATCCGAATACATGCAACTACAGATTAAAAATTCTATGACACTGTTTGATAATACAAAAATTATAAGGTTATGAAAATTGTTTAACTTACGGTATGATAAAGTTCTGACACTTGTGAAGTTCCGTGTTACTAAAAGCCGAAATTAATTGAAAAACAATAAAGTTCTAGAATCTCCTCCACTTGAAGAGTATTCTACAAAATTCTAGAGTCCGTTATTACGGTATAAATCCGGAATACCGTGGACTTTTCCCGTATGATAAAAGTTGAACACTACTAAATATTTTTGATCTCTCTCTTTACTTTCTTTACCAATAAGCTCAAAATTGACCATGCTATTAGTGAAACTCATTTCCACACTGTCTATAGTCGTTAATTCACAAAATATCTTATCTGAAAATATGTTTTTCAGATTATTGATAATTCTGCACGTAAAGAGTCAACTCGGCCCTATACCAACTCGGCACAGGTGAACTGGGAAAGGGTCAACTCTGCCCATTTAAAAAAAAATATTGAACATATTTACTTTTTCTGATTAAGTTATCACGGCAAACTGTTTTAAATGAAAAATAAAAGATATCTGGTACATCATTATATAATTGTACATTATACTTCTGCAGAATTAAAGTATATTGAGAAGAAATTCATTACGTTTATACTTGCAGATTCGTTGAAAATTAATATAATACAAATGTGTTTCCTTTGATGCTTTTAAAGTAATCTTCAATAAAATATAAAATAAATATGTATTAACTTTTATTATCATAAGCTTCAAATTAGTTGAAGGTGGTCATTTGAATGATTGCATTATTCATAATTATCACCTGATCATTCGGTACCCTTAAAATACACATGGCGATTAATTGGTGATAATAGCAGTCCTTTAATGTCCTTTTCCAATTTCAATAACCAAAATTGTAATAATAATTTAAGAAAACATCTTTCCACGTTTGTGAATAAGTCCATTAATTATGTGGTTCCAATAATATAGAGTGATAAAACAAACCAATGTATAAATAAATTGAAAAGTGGGCCGAATTGACCTGTGCCGAATTGGAATAGGGTCAAGCTGACTCCGGTGCCGAGTTGACCGTGATTAAATCCTGCTTATGACAATGCTTAAATTATGCTCCCCTACAAAAGTAACATACATAGGGTCTCAACTCTATATACATCTGTATATACATACAGATTCTGAAATAGCTACCGACCACCATTGCATTATTGCTCTATACATTCATGGCTTTAAACTTAAGCTTTAATTGAAATTACAGCAGTGGTTAAACACAGCCAATAACAATGATTTTCTAATACCCATGAAAAGTATCAAAGGGCCATATCCCTAAAACCAATAGGTGGATTTGGATGACATTTGTAGTCTTATTTCCATGTTAATATTTTATTACCTCCATCCCTCTTCTAATTTTATCACTTAAGGAAATCAGAGATGTAGATAATCTATGTCTCTGAGAGAAAAAAAGGTCAAAAGCTTAGATATAAACTCACAGTAATGACTCATGCTTTGAACCCGATGGTCTTAAGTCATAAGAGCCTGTCAGTAATCCTTGATCTGAACTTTCCTCACCTCAGCTCAGCTTGTGTAAAGGAAGCTTGAAGGCTGGTAGTTATAAGCAGTAGTTATTAGAAGTGACCTGTTGTGGATATGAAATTTAAAACAGTTATGAGCTGTGAGCAAGGAAGTTCTGTTAAAAGCCATAACCAAGGCTATCCTATCTTGAGGTGTGAGCCACCAATTGGCCTACCTTTAGCTGTAAACCAGACAGTTCTATCATTATAAGTAGCTATAAACCAGACAGGCCAGTCATGAGCAGAGAGCCAGGCAGTCCTGTTATACAGTCCTGTTCTGACTAATGAATAAGACAAGTCAGTCACATATTGTGAGCCACAAGCCGGTCAAGAGTTGTAAATTAGACATGCCACACATAAGCTGTGAATAAGACAACCCAGCCATGTCCTTAGGTAAAGACATGTCAACTGCATAGAATATTTTGTTTTTGCCAATGCTCACCAAGGCAGATTTTGTTGAACAAGGGCTTGTTGGGTAGCTTATGGCTTGTCATTTACAGCAGTGTAAGCCAACTGGCTGTAGTCTAACAAAGTAAGAAATCAGAGGCAAGCACACAAATGGCCTTAACCAGTTTAGCTCCATCTTCATTACATTTTCAATGATATTATAGAGTATAAAGCTATATCTTATTAAATATTCTAATAAAATCTATCAATTGTTAAATTATATTTGTTCCATAATCTTATGATTTAAAAACTATATAGGGCATTAAAAGTCAGTGCCTTGTGAAGTACATGTAGGTTATTACTGGTTTGGTAGATCTACTTCCAAGATATGACAAAAACGTATTAAATGATTTTTAACCTTTTTTATTACACTTAACATATCAATATATTGTTTGTTGGAAATTAACCCATAATCTGCTGGAGGGAAAAGCAATATGCATTTGCCACCAGTATATTACTGAATTACACATTCAAAAACCAACACAATTAAAAAATCAAAACTTTATCAGCTTCTTCAGTTGTCAATGGCAATGACTAAAACCTGCCAAGGATGTTGCTTTTGGTACGCCACACATATGTGTAATGTAGAGATTTCTACAGTTAATAGTTCTTACAATAAACACATTCAGATTGGGTTATATTGCCATGCATGAAGAGAGCTGTCTGTTGCTGATGAAATAATCAAATCTTGTTGCCACGGATACCACATATGCTTAACAACACATACAGAATCAGACTGGTCCTCTGAGTTTCTTTTATGTCCTTCATGTACAAAGACTGGTTCTAGATTTTTATCTTTTAATGGACTGTTATAAATGTACACCATTCCATCTAAACCTGAAAAAAGGTTTGGATTTAAAATTTAAGGTTACCTCCCTTTGACTGTAATACAAATACTTGGTCAATATCATAAATACAATTTTCATTCTAAATGGGAAATACTTAAAAATTCTGTATTTATAGAATTAAGCTATTTATAGATGGTGCAAAAGTATTATTTTAAACCATGACAATATTTTGCTTGAACCAAATGATAATAAAATATGGACAACACTTTAAAATGCTTGTCTGAGATATACTTTTGTCAAGAATGATCAAGATTACCTGATATTGAAAATCTGCTGCCATCTGGACTTCCCTGAACAATAATTAAACAAACAGTAAAACATATAGTTTAAGCATTCTCCATTATTAACATTATGCAAAAATAAATCTGAAATAGTCATTACATGTTCTTGAAAATAAATGTGCAACATTTCTTTTTATATTATTAAAAGAAAGCACAATCTGAGGCCACCAATGACTCAGGGTTTAAGTTTCAGTCAGGCTGCAAACAATTTATCTCAGCCTGTGACACATATATTGAAAGATTCTTTAATAAAACAGGTTGCATTTGTGAATAATGCTATGCCACTGCATTAATACAACATTAAACAGTAGTGTAGAAACAGAAGATTTTTTTTTGTTTCTATACAATTGAACTTTGCCATAATACAGTTGAGTCTAGTGAATTTGGTGGTCAAGGTCATATTTCTAACGGCCTAAATTTCATGACTGTACATCAAAGGACAAAACAGTACATCGCTTTGTCAAAATCTAGGCCAGCTGATATCAAAGTTCATTTTACATCTTAATCAGTGCACATGGTTCAAATTTCATAGCTGTACATCAAAGGACAAGAAAGTAGGTCAGATGTCAAAATCTAGGTCAGCTGATATTAAAATTCAATTTAACATCTCAAACTGTGCACACGCCACACAGTCCAAATTTTATGGCTGTAAATCAAAGGACAAGACAGTAGGTCACTGTCCCCTTGAGCAGGGCAAAATTTGACCCAAGGATTTAATTTAAACAATCTTGATACAAGTCATTCAGATAATGTTTCATGTCAAATATCTAAGCTGTAGCTTTCTCCTATTCAGAAAACATTTGTTTTAGATTCTGTTTTTACTATATGTACTTAGTGAAAATCTATGATCCCCCCCCAAAGCCGTGTATCTTTAGACAAAAAGATTTCATGCAAAATATCTAACCTCTAGTCTTTGTTAATTCAGAGAAGATGATTTTTTTGAAGTTTTTACTATATACATGCATGCAAAGGAAACCCCCCCAAACCCCCATCCCCGGGCAGGGCCAATTATGCATATATGACACCAGGGACAAAATTTGAAAAGCTTCGGTAGAGGGACTATAGATAATATATACCAAATGTCAAAGCTCAAAGCCTTGTACCTTCATTGTACCTTCAGACAAGAAGAGTTTCACATGCAAATGAGCACACACGCACACACAGGGGAATCGCTATACGCCACTGCATCACAGAAGCTGGGGTGGCATAAAAATCAAAAGTAGTAAATATAAACTGAATGTACCTGTACAAAAAAATGATTTCCTTTCCCCTTTGGAGAATCACATGTCTTTCTTACACATTTTTCTCTAAAATCAGAATCCAGAACAACTACATCACCATGAGTTGAAGCTAAAATAATAGAATCTGATTGGTCATTTAATTTTGTTGCTGTCCAATCTACTTGCTTCTTGTTTACTACTTTATGAGAACAGTTGACCTTTACTTTTTCACATCTAAGGTCACATGTATAGATATCGCCTGTACTAGTGCAACACATTAGGACACTGGCTGTTCTGTGAAATATGCTTGATACCTGATCAGATTGATCATCTCCTGTGACAAAAAAACAACAAGCATATTATTTGTTAAAAAGGCTTTCCATTGGTTATTCTGGATCAGAATAAACAGTTATAAAGCAAACTACCATACCTATGAAACAACATATAACCTGTCAAAAGTCTTTATAATATTATTAATACTACTGATCTTTGATTGAAATAAATTATCATAGGAGCAGCAGCAGTGTATGTAGATAACTGATAATAAATAAATTGTATAAACATCATGACTGTCTGATGAAAACTGATATTAATGATACACATCCATGGCCGAGTGGTTAAGGTATTTTACTTCAAATTGCTTGTCCCTCACCACTGTGGGTTCAAGTCCAACCATGGACTTTGCATCTTTTCATGTGAAGAACCTTAGTAAAATTCAGCTAGCTTATGGAACAACCATGGTTCAACTTAGGTGCCTGTTCATTCCTGAAATAATGCATGGAAGGGCACCTGAGGTCTTCCTTCACCATAAAAGGTGGAAAGTCGTCATATGACATATTATTTAACTGTGTTGGTGCAACTAAAACCCAACCAAAAAAAAGAAAACACAGTAATATACATGTACATGTATGTAGAAGCCTTTCTGTAAGGAACAGAAAAATCAAGCCTGGTTAGGTAGTCTCTCTGGAAACATGAATATTGGCACAATTGCAGTAAGTAATGGAAATAAATCTTCATGATTTTATTGAAAATATAGGCTGCTTAAAAATAGCAGAAATACTGTATTGTTCTTCTTGACATTTCACTTTCAGATTATTAATCAGCATCACCCATTCATGTGACTGTGATAATATTTCATTCAATTACTAAAGTCAATGATATGATAAAATATTTCATTAAGTTTTCTTAAGAACTTACCTGAAAAATCCCTTATTTTTTCAAATCGTTCAGTATCCAGCACAGTGATGTTATTTAAAGAAGAACCAAAGACAATGCTGTTATCATTGAGGTTGTTGGTATGTACAGATATCTGTGTAGGATGACACGTAGAGTTTACAGCGGAGATAGATTTCTCCTCTGTCATCAAATCAGTATCACAGTCTCCCATCTTCCATACACTAACAGTTGTCTCCCCTGTAGTGGCTGTCATACAATACCTGAATTTATAATATAATGTTATGTTATTATATGTATATAATATAAATAAATTAATTAATATATTATATACACCTACATTTATTATGTTATATGTACAAAATTGTTCTACATGTACAAATACAACCTAATGGAACTCAGTAAGTGAAGGACAATAGTTCTCAAATAGGATGCAAAGTATGATGTAGAATTTGCAAAAAATCAAATTTCATTAACATCAATTTAATTAAACCCTTAACCTGTTGAATTAGCTGTTGAATTAGCTGTTGATGAAATGCAGGGCTTTCATTTTCATCTAAAGAAACAGATGTGCTTACTATTCAATAATATCGATTTTTCAGGATATAAAAATGAAAATTTAAAGTTAGTCAGCCAACAGTAAAGACCTTGTCAGACTGTACAGATGTTTATAGTGATGGCAAATGCTAGTAACATTTGTTTCCAGCAAAGTGAGGTTTAATATAAGAACAAGGAAAGATAAAGGGAGAAAACACATATAATCTAAAGAAGACTGACTGCATAAATGTATAATAAAATAGATATCATCACTGTCACCTTGTATCAGGTATATGTTTGATATCATTGATTGGAGATTTACAAAACCCTCCTGTCAGAACTCTAAAATCTCTGTCCTTCTTCAGCTTCTATAACAAAATATAAATACGCAATGTATGAAAAATGCAAGTATACATAGAATAATAACATATTAATAGTAGTTATTTATTATAAAAATATAAAATTGGTCCTTGTAGAGTAAGACTTAATGTCAAGTAAAACACATCATGAAACAATGTCATAATTTGCATGTCAACCTCAGTTGTAAATGTAATAACAAATATATATGGCTGCACTAATTTGCCCAATTAAATGCCAGTTTGCTATAAACAGGCTAGTGAAAATGCCCGATTGGGCTTATGTCATAAAAAATCATATTTCTAGAAAAGAAACATAAATATTTCTTTTAAACTTTGTTTGTTTATTGAGAAAAATATTTGACAAACAGAAAGAAAAATATTTAGCTACTGTCACTTTTGTGAGATTTATTTCCCTTTTTTATGTTGTTCAACACATAATTTTTGAAGTCCTTAAACGTATGTTACATATGCAAAGTGTAAAACAAAATAGGTTAAATAACTTCTTTAAACTCAAATTCCTTGCGCCAAACCTGTCAGCATACATTTCATTCAGTTTTCAGAGGAAACTTCAAAGTATAATGTTCAGTTTCAATGTCAATTTTAATATAAATGCCAGAAACAGAATATTTAATCCAAATATATAGAATAAAGGTATTGGCGCAATAATCTAGAGCAAAATGAAGTTGTTGGACGCATTTCTTTTTAGAATTTTACAATATAATTTTTATTAACTTCAAATATTTAGTTTCTAGAAAATGGGAAAAGGGAAATAATTCTAAGGAAAAATGATAACCAAAATATTTTGATTTTGATTTGTATCATATATCAATGCTTAATAAACAAAACAAGTGAGAAAGAAACGTATTAATTATTTTTCTAGAAATATGATATTTTTATGTCAAAGCCCGATCGGGCATTTTCACCAGCCTGATAAATTGTCCAACTTTGTCCAACTTTCTCATGTTATTTGAACTACATATGTATACTTACCCCATCTTCCTCAGATTGTAACATCTTATCAGGTAGAGCCAGCTCTAGTATCTCATTCTTGTTCCCAGTTGATGTGCCAACACACAAACCTAAAACATGCATAATTTAATCATCATACAAAATATTTGATTTGACAGTCAAACTATTTTCACAAACCTAAAACATGCATCATTTAATCATCATACAAAATATTTGATTTGACAGTCAAACTATTTTCATCTTAAGTTAAGAAGAACTATAATTATTTCATTCAATGTAGTTCTGAATGATGCCCAAAAATTTTGAAAATTTGACATCAAACGTCACCATCATTTAAAGGTCATGGTCATTATTCAGGTTTTTGCTGAGGTGTTATTTGCTTAAGAGGTATAATTTAATGTGAACAAATAATTTAGGAAGAAATAGAACTGTTATTTTAAAGAGGTAATTGGTCTACTGAGGGTAAATCTGCTGAGGTTACACTGTAGTAACATCAATAATAATCCTAATAAAATAACAGTTAGTTTTCAGGGTACAGAACTCACTTTAATTTTACATAATTCAAAATCTTTTTTTAAAAGCATTTTACTTACTTTTCCTGCTCACCCAATCCATTGCTGTTACACATTGTTGCATATCATAAATGGACAAGTTTTTGTACCTGTTTATGAAAATACAAGCAAACTATGTCATATTTGTACGTGTATACATCAACATCAGATAATAATAACAATAAATAAGTCTGTGCAGAGAATACTAAATAGGCTACTAATAAAACTTTTAAATACAGTGAGTGGATTCAACCATAAAATATGGCAGGAAATGAAAGCGATTTGACTAGAACCAGGCCTGCCTGCACATCCAATTTATATCTGACCAGGCTTGTTATTTAAAAATGAGAAACATTAACAATAAAGGGCTAATTATCAAAAAAATGGTTATTGACATCATGCAGTATATATATAGAAAGACCAAAAATCCCAGTCTGGCTTAAAAAATTTTCTCACTCTGTGACATTTGGCACAGGCAACAAGGGGCTGTGTCACTGTATTAATCCTGCTTCATTTGAAGTATTCACTCTTTCCATAAGAAAAGTTATGATACAGAACTGTTCACTACCTAGACCTATCACTGAAGGTGATTAATACATGTACCTGGCCCACCAGCAACTTTGATTTCTTGACAGATAAGTGATGTGAGAAAAATTTGAAGTAAGATTACATGTATGATGTAATCTACTAGTCAAAATATATTGACGTGCCAAAGCTTGATTCTGAGATATTTTCGTTCTAGAGCAGAATCTCGCTTTAGAGATATTTAGAGGCGAGATATTGCCCTGACACGAAAATAGCACAATTAATATCTCGTCGTGCAGTACAATTAGTAGGACTGCAAAATAATTAACTGACAGCAACTTGAAGCTCTGATGCCAGTGGGACAATAATAATTTCATGCCCCCTTAAGCAAAAGTGACCCCTTTTGACACTAAATTAAAAATTTTATCAACATTCTTTGATTCTTTTTTGAATAAACCACATCTTGGATTAGAAGGAAGCAAACCCCTTTTTTCCAAAACAATATCCCCCTTGGACAGTTTGTCTGAAATATGGACATTTTTTTAATACCTCCCCGCCCCCCACCTCTTCCAAAAGAAAGAGATGCGAATAATTTCTGGAATAGCCCATGGCCATGGCATTTGTGGAACGAGTCAGTATAGGGCCGACTTGAAATTCTATGTAAAACCGTTGTCGGAACTCTGTGTATCTAATGTCATTGCATAATAATAATAGTAGTGATTAAATACTTCTTTATTGACTCAAATATCCAATCATCATAGTCCATGACTGATGTTTAAATGTTTTTTTTCCCGAAATACTGTCGATGTCTTCCATTCACTGGTCAAACAATTTAGAATGTATTCTAAAAATATAAATCAGTGAGACCCCAAAAGTGTTCTTTAATTCTGATACAGAAATTGTGTACGGTACAGTACTCATAATTTTATGTGTACATATATTTTCTATTTTGGAAAACAAATACAAAAAGGGGGAAATGACTGATATGTTCAAACAATCATGTTCTTGTTTTTATTTTTTTATTGTTCGATTAACATGGGACAAAAAAAATAAAAATAAAACAAACTCCAATCCGGTTGGGTTCGGGCGCTAACTATGGCACAGTAATTCAGTAATTCGACTGGGCTTTCAATCAGTACAGAGATCTCTGTCGGCTCATTGAATGTTCACAAAATATGTGTTTGATGGTATAAAACATTTATCCTTTGTCAGAAATGAATTCTAAGTCCATTTCCATTACACTATATACAAATATGTCTATCTTAGTATATAGTGTAATGGGAATGTATTTTAGGATAAATGTTTAATACCATCAAATACTATTTTGTGAACATTCAATAAGCCGTACCCATTTGTGTGCCACCACACACACATTTTTAGCAATTATTTTTTTTTTTATATATATATATATTTTAGCTTTTTAATTTATTATTCATTATTTTGAAACTTTTGATATTTTTTGATAAACTATAACACAGATATCTCAATAACTATATATAACGATCGTAGGTACGAAAAGTTAAAAATATAACAGAAAGAGAAAAATAACTTTAGATTTTCTATGTAACGGTCGATATTTACATTTGAATTTTGACGTTACGTCATGTGACTTTCATCATCATGTGACGTCTGCGAAGGCAGTGATTACAATCTGCAAAGGGAGGTAATGACATGATGCAATCAGAACATCTTTGCATTTATTCATAATAACCTCAGGTTTAATACAGATTAAAAGTAGTTCTTCCACATGGTTTTACATGTAGATGTAATCAGAGGTTGTAAAAAATTTTATTATGTATGACAACTCAACTCAACTCTTTTATTTCATAATCAAAGGCCTCCGGCCCAAAATATATATTGGAAATATTGCAGTATTTATGATTGGAAAGCATCCAGGCTGGTCTGGTCAACACTGCTGCAAGACGTTGTTTCCCAGACCAGCCTGGATGCTTTCCAATCAGCTCTGGCCAGCCAACATATATAATACTAATCACGGAGTTGTTTTTACTCTTTTAATAGAAACTGTAAATAGGGAAACTTTTTATTTTTATTTTGGAAAACAGTCAGTCCTGCCTGCTGCGTATGTATATACAGTTTTTATCCGATTGCGAGTATACTCCTTGCGGAGTGATGCAATTACTTGAGATATTGATGATGATGATATATCAAACAATAAAGTAGCATTTGAATCAGGTTATTTCAATATAATATCAGTTTGTATGACATATATTTCAACATAATAGCAGTATCTACGACATTGTCTATTAATTTCAATATAATAGCAGTGTTTATTATAACACTGTCCATCAACCGCAACATAATAGCAGTATTTATGACATTGTCTACTTACTTCAATATATTTATAGCAGTATTTATGACATTGTCTATTAACTTCAATACAATAGCAGTATTTATGACAATAGCACTATTTATGACATTGTCTATTAACATAATTCAATATAATAAAAGCATCCATGACACTGTCTATTAACTTCAATAAAAGCAGTATTTATGATATTTTCTACTAAATTTAACACAATAGTAGTATTTATGACATTGCCTATTAACTTGAATTAACTGACAATGTATATATTTGACATGCAAAGGAATTTTTTTTCGATATTAAGTACTATAGGCTAATAAACTCAACCTTTAAACATAAAGTAATTTATTGCTGTGAGTTGTTGACTAACTTTATTCAAATATGTCGAGAAAAAGACCATCTAAATTAAGTAAATTCACAGATATTAAAGTAAACAATACATTATTTATATACATTGTACTTGTAATTATGGTTGTAGAAACCGAAATACATAGTAAACCTGTTGACAATAATTAAGATTTGGTTATAATTGTACATAAGTGGGCATATGCATGTTTTAGTCAAATAAAGTTACTGATAATAACCGAGATGTTCCGATTGCGTTATTGGCTAGCGAAATTATAGTTAACGCCCGAACCCTTCCCGAGATTTTGCAGAGTAGAGCTGTCATTTTGTGTAAGTATATTCCTATTTTACTTGTTCGTGACAACATTAAATTTTATTTTGTTACGTTAACTTCAGTTTTAATTTACTATTTTCCAAATATTTCCTATAACAAAACATATATTTAGCTATAGTTTATAAGAAAAATATGTGCCGGGATCTAGGCACTGTGAAATGTTTCCTTTACTCCTATAATAATTGGTTGGAAATGTAGCTACAGTCATTGTCCTAATGTAAGATTTCCAAGGCGACGATATATGCAAGTTATAATTCATAATCTGCACTAGTTGATAATTCCCAATCCATAATTGATACAGTAGAACTAGAAGAATTATGATTATTGTCCAACTAATTGTGTAAAATACAAAACAACATTGTTTTTGTTGACCACCATTACCTTACTCAAACAAGAAATCTGAACTACCTGATACCCTACTCAAGGACACAATATCATCAAAATTCTTTCTTTTCTAGGAGCATACGTCTTTGGAATAGCCTTCCTCTAACTGTTCAGTCTAGTCCCAGTTTAAACATCTTTACTGAGAGGCTTGACCCATTCTATAAATTCTAAATTGCACACTTTTTAATAGTCTTGTAGAACTTTTATTCTTTTAACTTTTTAATTTGCATTTAGATAATTTCTTTTATTAACAGTTCCCTGACAACATGCCTGCTAGTCATAATCAGAATTGATTGTTAAGCAGTATAATGTAGATGTACTGCGTGACGAGATATTGTGCTATTTTCGTGTCTTGGCAATATCTCGTAAAAGCAAGATTCTGAATCAAGCTTTAGCATGTCAATATATTTTGACTGGGGAGGGGAGGCGGGCCTTTTGTCCACAATGTCATTTTTAGATGGGGGGGGGGGCATTTAGATTTACCCTTGTCTGTCCATCCGTCCATTCTCTTTTGTGTCACACATAGCTGTGTGATGATTTATTCAGTATTTGTAGAGATATTGTTGAGTGAAATAGTACATATATTTGCTTTTGTAATGAAAAAGAATATATTTCTATTTTCAACAGAATATATCCATATAGAGCTACATGTATATTTTATTGTGACATTTAATGATATCCATGTCAACCTTGATATAGCGGTCATTTTAGCTTAGTCCCCTTGCTGACGGCTATAGGCAGGTTAGACAGTACTTAATACTGCCCTTATTTAGCAGAAGCAAATTTATACTATTAATGCAATATACTTACTCTAAAGTTTAGAATATTTTTATGTTTTCCCAGCTATATGGGGGTGCACACATCTGACAAATCTATTGTGAACAGTAGTGCACTGTGAAGCTATAATGGTAAAATTTTGTTTATACCAGGACATTAGCTTGGTAAACATACTTTTGCAGAGTTCCGGATAACAACTATTATTTAGTATTAAAACACTTACCATATTTTCACTTTTGCTGTATTTATATTTATATATTCATATTGACAATACTATGATACATAACATATAATGTAATTATTTTCCTTATTTTCCCATTTATAATAATATTATTGTCTAAAAGCTACCAAACAATAGAGATTTGTATCGCGGTCATTCTTATTTTCATGTCACTAAACAATAAGTACATTTATAATACTAGTCATTTTAGATTTTTCTTCCCAATAAACCTAAATTAATAACATTTGAACTGTTAACGTTGATGTTTAATTGATTATCTGGATTTTACTTCCTCTTTACTGAATTAAAAGATGTATACAATTTTCCAACTGGAAGGCATTATGGTTAAATAAAACCACTAAATCTGCTGACATTGGAATAAGTAAGGTAAATGCACTAGCATAATGTTCAAAAAGATATCTTCCAGGCACTTGTCATTATTTATAAGCCTTCGGTCCTAGAGAATATCTATGTATTAAAGAATGCTGATTGACATAAACAGCTCTGGTAATGGTATCATTGAAGTATCTACTGTTTAATATTTACTGCTCATAACCACCTTGCCTATATTTGAATTTGCCTCCACAGTAAAAAAAAATGTTCTGTCAATAAAGGCAGTGTTTTTTGATTACCTGATTTGTACTTCATATTATTTTTACAATGTTGATATATTATTATCCTTTAGCGCCTGACCAATAAAGAAAAGATTAAATGCAAATTCTTCTAACCATAATCTCAATTTTACAGATTTTGAATGCTGTTACAATGTAGGATGTCCATGAAAGGTGTTTGGTAACTGATAAATTATTTGCATCAATTGAAGTTATCTTAAGTAATTTCTCTAATATACAGGTTTTGATTTACCTTGTTTTATCATTGAAATTTACAGTCTTTAAGGTTATAAAAACATTCATTATGATAAGGCAAAGCAGTGTGTGGATACTGGTTGGGGAGATAACTTCGGCTGGTTGATAAACTCGGCTTTTTATAATTAAATCGAGTTATCGGAATTTTTAATCTAATCAAGCTCACCATCTCATACTATCGCTGGAATTCGACAATATCTGGAAATTTTGTCAAGTTTGGTAAGATATTTAAAAAATAACACAGACTTTAACCTGTTTGTTTACAAAACATGCCTATAAAAAGTACAGGAATCCCATTGTTGTGCGCATGTGCAGCAGATGCTCATTTTGAGGCCCGCACAGGGGTACTTTTGTAAATTGACCGACTACCGGTAAAGCAATGCATTTTGTAGATGAAATTCAGACTCACTTTTGTCTTGCTAACTCAGAAAAAAGGCTGATTACACAATTGTAATCTTTAAGTGGAATGGATTGAAAGACTGATTTTTATATGTTATTGTGTAGGTTGAATACTACTAAATTAATTTCTTCTTCACTCTGTTAAGCTAAGCAAAAATAAATTTGATTTTAATTCTTTAACTACATATTTCGTTATACGTTAATAAATGATAATGCATGTGTTTTTACGTAAAAATGATTTATATGTTACATAGTACGTTGCATATAAATATCGTGTGATCATAGATATTCATTATACTAACGTATTGCTCAATATTTTGGTAACAAATATTTTTTTATTTGACATATATGATCAGCAAAGAAATAATAAAATGTCTAAACATGTTATTTTACGTTTTAACTTATTCATTTAAGAAGAAAAACAAAGAGCCGGAATTATCTACTCGCGTGCGTTAAAAATATCCTTTTTAAGTACCTCTTCCAGGGCCTCTCAAAATTACCCGTTATGTTTCTAAATATAACTTTTATGGTGATACCGGAAAATCAAAGAGCTGAAGTTTATTATGGTGCAAGATTCATCAGAATACTTAAACAAATAAATGAAATATGCCCCCAAAAAACTGATTTTCGGCCGAGTTTATCTCCCCAACCAGTATATAATTAGATAGAAAATGTCTAGACTAGATATTGGAGCTATTCTTGTTTTATTGTTGATGGCTATAGTGCTGTATACAGTCTCCTGTGCAACAGTCATACAGACTGATAGATGTAAGTGTAATTTACAGTGTATTTAATGAGTATTTATTGATTCCCCCTCCTGCTACCAGTAGAGCTGTTGATGTTTTCATGATTTATTAAACTCTGGCATGGCAATGCAAGCTGCAATACACATTACGTTACAACATTACCCAATACTTCAATTTGCATATTAAGTAATGTTTGTCACATTCTTCTGTGTAGCTCCAGTTTCTTCAGTTTCAATTGAACCAAAAGTTTAAATGATCAACAACAACAACTGTTGTTGTTTAAATTATCTGTATGTTATCCAGAATAGCTGCAATTGATTTTAGCACACCTGACTTAGCTTTTGTTGTGTGATCAGGTACAATTTGAATATATTAGGTTCATTATGAGTCAGGTAAGGTATTAATGTTTAACTCACTGTGTGATCAGGTGAAATACTTATATTTAGCTCACTGTGTGATCAGGTGAGGTATTAATGTTTAGCTTACTTTGTGATCAGGTGAGGTATTAATGTTTAGCTTACTTTGTGATCAGGTGAGGTATTAATGTTTAGCTTACTTTGTGATCAGGTGAGGTATTAATGTTTAGCTCACTATGTGATCAGGTGAGGTATTAATGTTTAGCTCACTGTGTGATCAGGTGAGGTATTAATGTTTAGCTCACTGTGTGATCAGTTGAGGTATTAATGTTGAGCTCACTGTGTGATCAGGTGAGGTATTAATGTTTAGCTTACTTTGTGATCAGGTGAGGTATTAATGTTTAGCTCACTGTGTGATCAGGTGAGGTATTAATGTTTAGCTCACTGTGTGATCATGTGAGTATTCATAATTAGCTCACTTTGTTATCAGGTGAGATATTAATGTTTAGCTCACTGTGTGATCAGGTGAGGTATTAATGTTTAGCTCACTATGTGATCAGGTGAGATACTGATTTAAGCCAAAACATTGATTTTTGCAATGTTTCAGTTTTTCAAATTTATTTAAAGTTGTTCCATATATTCCCTTGAGGTGTTTGTAATGTATTAAGTATTCATAAGTTTGTCATTTGTGGCAAAATATTTGAACGCTGCCGCAGAATTTTGTTAACATAAATATGCATGATTGGAAAAATGGAGAAAACATGGCTTTGTGGCATTTTATTGATTTTGAGTTAAAATTGATCATGATTATCAGATAGCTTACTTTATGATAACATTGATTCCCAAGCAATGTCACACATGTGAGGAACTTTGTGAAAAATTGACAATACTGAATGATAACAGGCAATAGTTGTATCAAATTTTGTGAAATACACCACCACCATGTTTTAACATGCGCTGAGTGTTTTGTAGCAGTTTCGAGATCTTAAACCCAACATGAGCTTTTCAGGCATTACTTCAGTGCTATCCTATTTTAATTTAGGAACATTAAAGGGACTCCAATGAGGTTTAAAAGCATAAAAACATAACATTTAAATTTCTTACATAAATGAGCTGGGGCACTTTATTCAGAAATATATGCAAAGATAGTTAAGAAATTAACTATGAAATAAATTGAAAATTACATTTTCATGCTTTTCTTAGCCTGATTTGAAATGCTTTTCATTTTGGGTCATTTTTTTGCAATGCGAATAATCATTCTGGAGAAACGAAGTGTTTGAATGATCTGAAATTTTGCACAAATATTAGTGGTCTAAACCTACATCAAATGGCACATTTATCTAGAAAAAATATTTTCAGTCCCATAATGTCAAAAAACCTCAGTGGAGTCCCTTTAAGCAAACAGTGTCTATTCTAGGACGCGCGATTGCGCGATTCACGCTTGTATTTCACAGATCGCGCTCAATTCAAAATCATGTGCGTGAAAATTGCGCATCTATAAAAAAGTTAATAAAATCTTAAAACTTCCATCCTGCATTATATTTGGTTGTTTTGTTTACATTTACACCGGAAACCGAAGGGAGGTAACTGTACGCTAATTATAATGATTTAGAACCGTATGGTACTAGTTACGTGAGTTGACGGAAATTAACTGAATGTTCCGTACCGACCGGAACTAGTGTTCTAGGTCTGACAGTTGGGCGCCATTTTAGTGTAGTAAATAATCAAGAAAAATGAGGCAATTCCTAGCTTGGCTATGATCTAGACGTGAAAGATAGGTTGATTGTTTGTATTGTCAATCCCTTTATAATCAATCGCGACAGTTCTGTAATAATTTGTTTTTCGTTTAAAAATTAAGGGCTGCTGCCTTAAATATTTTCGTTTTAATTATTTCATTGGTTGAACGCCTCAGTGTAACTTTAATGCAGACAATTTAACATTGGCAGTTTATATTGGCACCCCTTGAATTTGAAAATCGCCCCCTTTTTTGAAATAGAGGGGGGAAAATCACCCCTATTTTTCAATTCCTAGAATAGACACTGGCAAATGTATGTTAATTATTCACTTGTCTTTCTTTTATTGTTATGTATGAGATTGGAACCTATTCATTTTATCTTGGCAGACAGAGACTGCTTGAAAATTGTGATTAACCATATACAGTCTGGGGTATTTACTACATATATATTTGAAGAGATATACTTAACCAAGGAGTCTGTATCTACATGTATATCTTTGCCAGCATCACACTTTGATCCAAGGGCAATCCCTACCATTCTTACTTGACTGTCATCATCATGTAACCCATTGATTTATTGCTTTGAGACAAGATAAAAATTATAAGTTGAACAAGCCTGAGATTTAAACCCTTTATTTAGTCATTTTCTTAAATTTACTTGTCCAGCTCCCATTTTTGGAACTGTCCATTTTCAGTTTAGGGGTATCACGATGAAAATGCCAACAGGAGAGAAGAGAGCTTGGTCAGGCTGGTTGGGTGCAGGCTGGCTTGGCTCTTAGTAACACTGGTGGTAGAGGTTTAAAATGACTACGTTCCAGCAGTGGAAGGGTTATAAGGCAAATTACACAAATACTTTTACCAGAAATTTGTTATTTTAAATTAAATGACTTTTACAAAACTAGTTGGAAGCACAAAGACTGCAGTTACATTGTTGATATTTTAAAAATTTCAGTTGACATGGAAAATAAACAGATCAAATTAAAACCAACAAAAAATGTTTGCCAGATTAATTTGAAGAAATTCAAGTCAATCTACAGTTTTCATAAAAAAAATTCCACACTTTTTAAGTCAAAACTTATTCACTGCAAAATAATAAATCTGACTCATAAAAAAGGAAGAGAAAAAGGAGAGAGCACATTTTTTTATAAAAGTTGTATTATAATACTCTGCCTGATGCGTTGAAATTATGGATGTACTTAACCTAAATATGTGACATGGTTATGATAAATTAGAGTACCTGTGTACTAAACAGTACAAAGTACAGCGTCTTTATCTTAAAGGGATTAACTAACATAAAATTGATTTTATAAAAATTTGTAAAATTATCTATTCACTATGTGGTCGTGTAGCATGCTTTGGTGAATGAAATAATATGTTGAATTGTTTCAATCTTTCAAACATTTGTCACATGTGGTTTAATATTATCACCAATACTTGATTGGGGTTAAATAACGTACATTCACAGTGTTTTAATAAGTGTCAATGTCCAAAAGTTGCTCTTTTTAAGAGTACATACCAAGTAGAGATGTAATAATTTGACAATACAGGATGGCGAAGTATACATATGATTTAAAGAGGCCAGATTATTCAATTTTTACTGTAGTTAACATCTTAAGGTTTTTATGTCATTAAATTGTCATATCACAAATATAGAAGGTTTGCTTAAGATAAACAGTACATCAGATCATACAGCCCGAAAGCAGGCTTTATATTGGATAATACACTTAACATGAAATAGACCTTGAAAGTTATATTAAGTATTAAAGGGATTTTCTTTTGTTTCATCAAGGTTGGTTAATATTTTATTGGATTTTATTATGTTGTCATTGGATAATAATGAAAACGAATGTCTTGATTGCGGGTGTTTAAGAAAAAACAGTTGGATATATAGATTGGATAGAGACAACAATATTGTTTGTATTTCTTTTGTCATTTCACGAGATTTTATAGGATTTATTTGAAAATAGCAGAAATACATGTATATCTCTATTATAAATGATAACATTATGACATTTATGATGTTTCTTTTCTCAATGAAAACATTTAGTTTGTTCTTAATTAAATACAGGCTCCAGTAGGTCATTGACCTTAATAAACCAGGTAAAGGTATTGAACTTTAAGTAGAGTCTTTCTTATGTCACTTTATGGAGTTTTGTGCCAGCCTATACATCTATGCAGCCTTCACAGATTCCATATTGGTGGTTCTAAATTTTAGTATGTTGAGATCAAAATTTTGAATTTTTAAAACATACTGTTCAAAAATTCAAAATAAGACACATTTATCACAAAGTTAGCAGGTGGAAGGTTAAATAAACATTACACAGTTTCTTGAACTTGAATTTCAAGTTGCAAGATTGATAAAACTTTTTAACAACTTTTTCACACTGTTAGTAAAAATGTAGGTCAATATGTCCTCTATTTTTCAAAAAAGAAATGATATATCTTGACATGGATAAAAACAAATGCATTAGCTAATACATGTATATCTTGACATTGATCTTCATGGTTGTAGATTGCCAAATGCAATTAAGTAAAAATGAACTTGTTGCATTTATCTCAATCGGTAAATCTTGACCTATCCTTATAAAGGTCCAATGTGATTACAAGTTAGTTAAGTGCCTAAAATCTGCAAACTGCAGTACTGTCTGTACATGTACTTTAAAATGCTTTTTCATGATCTTTACAGGACAAATTTGTTACAGTTACTGTAACTATGTTTGCCGGCAAGTAATTAAAAATATGAGCCGTGTCATGACAAAACCAACATAGTGGCTTTGCGACCAGCATGGATTCAGACCAGCCTGCGCATCCGTGCAGTCTGATCAGGATCCATGCTGTTCGCTTACAAACCCTATTACAAGTAGAGAAACTGATAGCGAACAGCATGGATCCTGATCAGACTGCGCGGATGCGCAGGCTGGTCTGGATCCATGCTGGTCGCAAACACATTATGTTGGTTTTGTCGTGACACGGCTCATATTTTTAATTGGACAATGACATTTTGCATATAATAGTTTAAAGTGCTGTAGTGCTGCATTGCATGATGACACTTGAATCTTAAGTAGGTTTTAATTTCTTTTCTTCCTTTTAAGCAAAGAATATTGATATGGATATACGTGTTGGTATCAAAAGAGAAACTTGATATGTCAATAAAATAGCTTAAGTGCTGGAGCTTCAGGGGGTCTCTGGCCCCAAGTCCCTTAGTGATGCCTAACTAGAACATTGCCCTGGACCCATCAGGGGCCCTATAGTCTAATTGTACTACAAGTTGAAATAATAAGCTGTTTATTATGAATGGGCATTATCTCCTCAATGAAGAATCTAGATTCTGATCAAGAAAGAGAATACCCAGAATCTAGTGTTAGACATGGAAATAGTTTGACTATCCTTAAGTGGCCCTATTATCTCAGATCTACTGCTTATCCAGGACAATTTTCAAGATTTTTTTATCAAGAATTTTAAATTCTAACCATGTGTTCCTGAAGTACATGTACATGTATTTATAAAACTGTATTAATGAGGAATTGTTACATGTATGAAAGGACTGACATCCTTGTTAATCTTTGCCATGTAACATATTTTATTTTCTATTAATTTACAGAGATGGCAAATTTCCTATGAAGGATAGTAAAATCTACATTGTGCAGTGATGGCGGACATATTACTGCACCTAGTGTTTGGTGTGTTTAGAGCAGTGACCTTGGTCTACAACATTGTCACCTTTGTACCTTACTATGTTGTGTGCCAGCCTGGAGAAAAGCTGAAACGATCAAATAGGCTAAAGGTCTGTATCCAGGCATATCTCAAAATGGGAATTTCCCAGAAATGTAATCAAATTATGTATTGTCTGAAATGAATAATTACATATATAAACTTAGTTTTAATGTTTTTCACTCATTTATTTCATGTTATTGTTTCCGGAAAATGAATTCATTAATTATGTAAATTGAACATGTACATAAATTTAATTACCATATTTGTTATAATCAGTTCACCCAGGGTTACATGAAAGTGACATTTCAACCATGTGTAAATTATCGGTGAATATGTAAAACTAACTTAACATTTGATGAAGACAATTTCTGAAAATAATAAACTAAAGCTTAAGTACTCACTCACAGACCAAGCTAAATTACCTTTTCCATATCTGGTAAAAATCTATTCCATTGGTGAGAAGAAAACTAAATAAAATGAATCCTGAACTTTCTCGTGTATGTACAGCATCAAAACAGACTCTAGAAGGAACATTCTTAGAGCCAGAATTCTTTTTTTTGTATGATTTGCTTTGTATGATTTGCTTTGTATGATTTGCTTTGTATGATTTGCTTTGTATGATTTGCTTTGTATGATTTCAGGCAAAGAGATTAGATGTAGATCCTGATACTCCATACAGGGCTGTAGAAGTTGCTTTAAAAGAGCTCACAACCACACCCTTCCCAGAATGCCGTACTTTAGATGATCTCTTCATACGTGCTGTTAGAATATATGGCGGTAAAAAATGTCTTGGTACGAGAGAAGTTCTCCGCGAAGAGGACGAAAAGCAACCGAATGGAAAAGTCTTTAAAAAGGTACTAATATTGTTTGCTTTTGTAAACATTTATACTTTCATGTGAATAAAAATATCTGGCATGGTTGAAGGAAAATAATGGTTTTAGTCAAGTTCAGAATCGTGTCTGAAATAATGGGCATAGGAGCATTTTGATAAAGCTCTATGCTAGTATAATTGAAAATGTAAGGAATATTTAGTTTAGTTAAAATGTTCTTTTTATGTTTTGTTACATGTTTGAAAACAGTAACAACATTTTATTAGGTATTTTGACTTATCTTATAATTACAAATGTAATCAATTTTCTTTTCTTGTTTTTAAAGGTAAACTTCCATGTTGTGTTTGTTTTATGTACAGGTGATACTTGGTGAATATAACTGGATATCATTCGAGGAGGTATTTACACGTATAACCAACTTAGGCAGTGGTTTATTAGCTTTAGGACAGAAACCTCGCTCTAATACCCTCATATATGCTGAGACCAGGGCTGAATGGATGATTGCTGCACAAGCTTGTTTTAAATATAACTTTCCAGGTAAGAAACAGTCGGGAACCTAGATCATAACTGGAGAATTTTTATCAGGATTACCAAATCAGGTGTTGAGTATCACACACACACACACACTGGTTTTTATCGCGCACACATCCTTCTTGTTTATGTGATAATTTTATAGATACTTTTCTTGTTAATGGACTGATTTCTATCAGGGAAAGAGCACAGGAAGTGTAAGTGAAAGCTTGAAGTTGTTCAGAAATTTGACATCTTAAAGAATATAGACCTATTTATGAAAATTTCAGACTAAATATTTCCGAAGTCTAGTACTATTCCATGTGTATAAGATGTTAACATATTTGTGAAAAAACTCAGTCTGCCCATTTCATCTATGGTGAATTTGGTTTCTGATTAAATGAAATATTTATTTACATTATAGAAGTATATTTTATGGTATCATAGTCTATTTCTACTGTTTTTAAGAAGTAAGACTTACTTGTGCCACGAAAATAGAAACTAACCTTAATTCTTAGTGGAGTTTTAAAGTAACTTTGATTTCACACCTATTAATTGTTGATTTTTTAATTTGATGGATTTCAGCGTAAGAATTATAAAAAAAGTTTGCATCCAACAGTACATGCACTTGTTAGACTGTATGGTTGTGCTCAATACTTGTGACATAGATAAGTCGTTATAACTGTGAACACTTCAAGGATAAGATAAAATGTACTTGAAAATGAGCAGCTGATTATGAGCTGTAGTTTTAGATTTTATAGTAATGTTTTTTACTTTCTTGATTTTTAAAGTAGATTTTACATATAATAATGACAAAAAATCTTAACCTTTTACCTGCTGAAGCCAAAAAGAAATAAGTCTTTGCCACTAGTATAGAGCCAGACCAGCCTGCAGGCTCTATACTGTTAGTTTATACAAAATTTATTTTTTTTAATTTGTAAAAAAAGCAAAAAATTTTAAGTTACAGTCCCCAACGGGTCCTTTTTGCTAAAGGGAACAGGGTTTGCCCCAATAAGGTAGTATGATATTTAGTCGACACTTAAACCCTTTTAGCCATCTTCCACATGCATAGACTTTTTGGCTAGCAATTTTTAATTTTTTGATACAGTTTTATTCCGGGATTCAAAACGGGGGGGGGGGTTTTTAAAAAAAAATGAAAATTTTTAATTACTTTTTTTGATCTTTTTCCTTTTTTACTGCTAAAATTCCCCCCCCCCTCGAAAAAATGGGGGGGGAATTATCGAAACTAGATGACCCCCACACCCCCCGTCCATAATAACACTGTTGAAATAACTTTCTTGAACTTTGAATGGACTGTTCTAAATTCAAACCTGGGTAGGTCCATTATAAAATTTCAGCAGGAAAAGTGTTAAATGGATATTTCTTGTGCTGTGTCCCTTTGTGCTCACTATTTTTGTACAAACATTGATGAAAGGGAGATAATAAGGGTGTGTTATCAACAGTTTTTAAGATGATATAAAGATACATATAAATGGGTTTTTAAACAATTTTGAATGGAAACCATGTTGCCTCTAGTTCTATACTGGTGGCTAATGAATTTAAATATTTTGATACTGACATCCCTGAAAATATTGATGGACAGTTCCAAATTTTAAACTGGACTAATCCATTTCAAAAGTTGAGTAGGGTAAGCATTGCATTTACTTAGACTGGTTATTTACAGTGGATGTCGATTGCGAGTAAGATGTTCCATAATAATTGACTTCTTTGTTCTTTCATTTCAGGAATTGAGATTTTTTAAAACAAATTGAATTAAGATTTAGTGATTTTTCATTTATTTTTATTATGCCCCCATTTCGAAGAAAAGGGGGTATATTGCTTTGCACTTGTCGGTCCGTAGACCAAATGGTTTCCGAATGATAATTAAAGAACCCTTAGGCCTAGGAACTACAAACTTGGTATGGTGATTGGTCATGACCAGTAGATGACCCCTATTGATTTTGGGGTCAAGGGGTCAAAGGTCAAGGTCACATTGACCTTGTAAGCAAAAACGGTTTCCAATCAATGACTAAAGAACCTTAAGGCCTAGGAACTTCAAACTTGGTATGGTGATTGGTCATGATCAGTAGATGACCTCTTTTGATTTTGGGGTCAAGGGTCAAAGGTCAAGGTCACATTGACCTCTTGGGTAAAAACGGTTTCCGATCAACAACAAAAGAACCTTAAGGCCTAGGAACTTCAAACTTGGTATGGTTGATTGGTCATGACCAGCAGATGACCCCTATTGATTTTGGGGTCAAGGGGTCAAAGGTCAAGTCAGATTGACCTTGTAGGTAAAAACGGTTTCCGATCAATAACTAAAGAACCCTTAGGCCCTGGTAATTCAAACTTGGTATGGTGATTGGTCATGACCAGCAGATGACCCCCATTGATTTTGGGGTCAAGGGGTCAAAGGTCAAGGTCACATTGACCTCTTAGATAAAAACGGTTTCCGACCAATAACTTAAGAACCCTTAGGCCTAGGAACTTCAAACTTGGTATGGTGATTGGTCATGACCAGCAGATGATCCCTATTGATTTTGGGGTTAAGGGGTCAAAGGGCAAGGTCACATTGACCTTGTAGGTAAAAATGCTTTCCGATCAATAACTTAAGAACCCTTAGGCCTAGGAACTTCAAACTTGGTATGATGATTGGTCATGACCAGCAGATGACCTATTGATTTTGGGGTCAAGGGGTCAAAGGTCAAGGTCACATTGACCTTGTAGGTAAAAACTGTTTCCGATCAATTAACTAAAAACGCTTAGGCCTAGGAACTTCAAACTTGGTATGGAGATTTGTCATGACCAGCAGATTACCCCTAATGATTTTGGGATCAAGGGGTTAAAGGTCAAGGTCACATTGTCTTGTAAGTAAAAACGGTTTCTGATCAATAACTAAAGAATGCTTCGGCCTAGGAACTTCAAACTTGGCATGGTGATTGGTCATGACCAGCAGATGACCCCTATTGATTTTGGGGTCAAAGGTCAAGATCACATTGACCTTGTATGTTAAAACGGTTTCTGATCAATAATAAAAGAACCGTTAGGCCTAGGAACTTCAAACTTGGCATGGTGATTGGTCATGACTAGCAGATGACCCCTATTGATTTTGGGGTCAAGGGGTCAAAGGTCAAGGTCACATTGACCTTGTAGGTAAAAACGGTTTCTGATCAATTAACTAAAAACACTTAGGCCTAGGAACTTCAAACTTTGTATAATGATTGGTCGTGACCAGCAGATGACCCCTATTGAGTTTTGGGTCAAGGGGTCAAGGTCATGACCAGTAGATACTTGATAACCCTTATTAATTGTTTGATCACTGGGTCAGAAGTCATGCATAATAACCTTATCACATGACTAATTGGCTGCTGATAGGGGGCATACATGTTTTACAAACATATCTTGTTTAATCTGAAAAGCATCTTTCAGGCTCCTTTACTTAAACTTTTAATCTACCTAGGTGTGCTAATCTGTTTAAAAGTCTGTTTTATAGTGGATTGCTGTACACTGCATGTAATACAGGAGTTTTTGTTTCTGTATATTTTAGTTGTGACATTGTATGCAACATTAGGAGAAGATGCCCTGGTACATGGTATCAATGAGAGTGAAGTCAGCTATGTCATCACATCAGCTGACCTTCTACCCAAGTTTCAGGTAGGTCATTTACAAATATGTACTTGTTACATTCACTTAACTTAGTCTTGATTTTAACCTTTGGAAAATTAATGGCAAATAATATTTTATCCAGTCGTCCAGTATAATGGACAGTCTTACCAGGTTTAACTGTTTGCTGCCAAATTTTTGTATTCAGTGATACTGAAAACACTTCATCTTCTTTTGGTATGTTCCAAGTCCAATGCAAGGCAAGTCTTTTACACAAGTTTAACATGATACGAGTTAATAAGTGTTGACACTAACATGATACGAGATAATTAGTGTTGACAGTTACATGATACGAGATAATAAGTGTTAAAACTAACATGATACGAGATAATTAGTGTTGACAGTTACATGATACGAGATAATTAGTGTTGACACCAACTAACATGATACGAGATAATTAGTGTTGACACTAACATGATATGAGATAATTAGTGTTGACAGTTACATGATATGAGATAATTAGTGTTGACACATACTAACATGATACGACATAATTAGTGTTGACAGTTACATGATACAAGATAATTAGTGTTGGACACCAACTAACATGATATGAGATAATAAGTGTTGACACTAACTAACATGATACGAGATAATTAGTGTTGACACTAACTAACATGATACAAGATAATTAGTGTTGACACTAACTAACATGATACGAGATAATTAGTGTTGACACTAACTAACATGATACGAGATAATTAGTGTTGACACTAACTTGCATGATATGAGATAATTAGTGTTGGCACTCACTAACATAATACGAGATAATTAGCGTTGACACTAACTAACATGATATGAAATAATTAGTGTTGACACTAACTAACATGATACGAGATAATTAGCGGTGACACTAACTAACATGATATGAAATAATTAGCGTTGACTCTAACTAACATGATATGAGATAATTAGTGTTGACACTAACTTGCATGATATGAGATAATTAGTGTTGACACTCACTAATATGATATGAAATAATTAGCGTTGACTCTAACTAACATGATACGAGATAATTAGTGTTGACACTAACTTGCATGATACGAGATAATTAGCGTTGACACTAACTAACATGATACGAGATAATTAGTGTTGACACTAACTAACATGATACGAGATAATTAGTGTTGACACTAACATGATACGAGATAATTAGTGTTGACACTAACTAACATGATACGAGATATTTAGTGTTGACACTCACTAACATGATACGAGATAATTAGTGTTGACACTAACTTGCATGATATGAGATAATTAGTGTTGACACTCACTAATATGAATATGAGATAATTAGTGTTGACACTAACTAGCATGATACGAGATAATTAGTGTTGACACTCACATATATGATATGAGATAATTAGTGTTGACACTCACTAACATGATACGAGATAATTAGTGTTGACACTCACTAACATGATACGAGATAATTAGTGTTGACACTAACTTGCATGATATGAGATAATTAGTGTTGACACTCACTAATATGATATGAGATAATTAGTGTTGACACTAACTTGCATGATATGAGATAATTAGTGTTGACACTCACTAATATGATATGAGATAATTAGTGTTGACACTAACTAGCATGATACGAGATAATTAGTGTTGACACTAACTAGCATGATACGAGATAATTAGTGTTGACACTCACTAACATGATACGAGATAATTAGTGTTGACACTAACTTGCATGATATGAGATAATTAGTGTTGACACTCACTAATATGATATGAGATAATTAGTGTTGACACTCACTAATATGATATGAGATAATTAGCGTTGACACTAACTAACATGATACGAGATAATTAGTGTTGACACTAACTTGCATGATATGAGATAATTAGTGTTGACACTCACTAATATGATATGAGATAATTAGTGTTGACACTCACTAATATGATATGAGATAATTAGTGTTGACACTCACTAATATGATATGAGATAATTAGTGTTGACTCTAACTAACATGATACGAGATAATTAAGTGTCGACACTAACTAGCATGATACAAGATAATTAAGTGTCGACACTAACTAGCACATCTGTTCACCTAACAGCCTGTGACTATTTCTTGTTCATGAATAGACTTGCTATATAGAAATTCGACTGTGTAACATACTAGAATAATAATGGAACTCTTTCATTGCTAAAGCCAATGGATTTGATTGTCTTCCCATTGCACATTGGATTCAATACCTACTTGGCACATTATATTATTAAGTGGTTAAGGCATCTGATCCTTAGCTTTTGAATCATGAATTTAAGCCTAACTGCTATCCTGTTGTGTGTCCTTAAAAGATGTCTGTGCTAGTTGGTACAAGAAGAATATGAATAATACATATTTCAAAAACAAACATATTTAAGCTAAATTTTATGTTGTTCAAGCTAGCAATGTTTCTGCCTGTCTAAGTTTTCAAATATATTGGATATCCATCTTCCCTTTTAGGCACTAAGAGTAAGAATCCTTTATTTTAACCAAATATAGTTTATGCATTTTTTTCCATTTGAGTGCTAGTGGCAGAAATAAGAGACCGGTAGTTTCAAATATAAATCTCTCAACTACTAATGGACTGTTCCAAATTCAAAGCAGACAAGGCCATTACAAAAATAAGGAAAGTAAGGTTGACATAATTACAGGTATTTTAAGAAATGCCCTTCTGCAGACAAAAAGCAGTACTAATTTGCAATTTTCAGTTACTTAAACTGGTACTTTTATATATGTGTTATATTTACAGGGAATCTTTGACCAGATCCCGAAGGTTACTCACCTGATTATCATGTGTGATGAACAAAGTGTTTCCAAGAAAGATTATCCGAGCCATATTAAAATATTGACGTTTGCAGAAGTTGAATTGATTGGAGCTGAGCCTGATAATAGTAGGTTCTATTTGTGCAACTCAACATTTACATATCAATAAGCATATTGTTTTAATACCGTAATCCTTTTCCCCCCCAAATTTATACAACACTATCATATTTATACAATATTCTCATAGTTATACAACCCTGTCATATTTAAGCAAGACTGTCATATTTATACAACACTGTCATATTTATACAACACTGTCATATTAAACAACACTGTCATATTTAAACAACACTGTCATATTAAACAGCACTGTCATATTTATACAACACTGTCATATTTATACAACACTGTCATATTAAACAACACTGTCATATTTATACAACACTGTCATATATATATACCACACTGTCATATTTAAACAACACTGTCATATTTATACAAAACTGAAATATACAACACTGTCATATTTATACAACATTGTCATATTTATACAACACTGTCATATTTATACCACACTGTCATATTTATACAACACTGTCATATATATATATATATATATATATATATATATATATATATATATATATATATATATATATATATATATACATACCACACTGTCATATTTATACAACACTGTCATATTTATACAACACTGTCATATATATGCAACACTGAAATATTTATACAACACTGTCATATTTATACAACACTCATATTTATACAACACTGAAATATTTATACAACATTGTCATATTTATACAACATTGTCATATTTATTCAACATTGTCATATATATATACAGCATTAACTTGCTTGTATTTTGTCATATTTTATACAATATCTGTACATTTATCATGTAATATTATATTTATACAGTGAGAACACCAGTTACAAAACCATCTAGGGATGATACAGCTGTTATAATGTATACATCAGGCTCTACTGGTAAACCTAAAGGTAATACAATATTTCTACCTGCGTGATATCCTTGATAAATCTGAATCTAGTTTATCTTGTAAAATAATGCAAATTATTAGAATCAGTTTGAAACGGTGCTGAAAACAAGAACCATTAGATTATTTTTATGCTTTAATGAATTGTCTCCCTTGGTTAGTTTTTTATTTTACCTCGATTGATGACCGAAACCTTATGAAACATGTTTTTAAATTTCAATGGATTAATGAGAAAAAACATATTGCACATTACACTATTACTGGTTAGTACAGGGAGAAAACTTCTGAAACATTTTGGTCTTGGAATGTTTAAATGAACAAGTGAATTATATTTAATGATTTGATGAATGATATTACAGGTGTTATTATAAGTCATGGTAACCTGATGTCGGGGATGTCAGGTCAGTGTCAGAGGATAGAGGGATTGGGACCACATGATACATACATTGGATATCTACCTCTAGCTCATGTACTTGAACTTAGTGCAGGTAAATTAAACTCATTTGTTCTTCATGCAAATTCTATGATTGTTAAGAGTCATCTACCTAAGACTGTTGTTTGACTACAAGTCATGTGGTCGCCAGTTTGGTTTCTGGCTAATCTATCTTAAACAGGGCTGCCGATTTTCCGCGGATTTCCGTCCTGGGTCATTTTTGAGATCGATGTAAATTCGACAAAAACAATAAATTAATTCGTCATATTTTATACAGTACCCCAAAAAAAACCGGCACGCTTCGGCTTTTATCGTTACCCTAGCCGCCTATGGTATGTCTGTAAGCGCTTTTCTCATTGGTCAAATCGAGTCTTTTCCGGCATTCTATTTTAGAATAACCAATCAAATTACAGTTTACATTGTCGCTCTTGTCTGTTGTCAAAATGTCGGATGTTTGTTTTGAGGGCTGATGAAAACCTGAAGTCCAACTAAAAATGTCTCTGAATGGCTTTAAAGGCAACCAAGGAAGTCAAATTTAGAGTCCAGGAAATTGATTTTAATAGGGCATACCAAATCATCAGAATCCAGGAGCTTCCGGGGGCTTCGCCCCTTGGGCCCCCAAGAGGGCTCTGCCCTGGATCTGCAAAGGGGGCTTGCGCAGCCTCCTTGACCCCCGGCGTATTTTCCTCTGATTTTGCAACTTGCTGTTGGCAGCCCTGCTTAAACTGGCCTCCTAGGCCAAGTTGTCAAGATCACTGACTTCAAATCACTTGACCTTCACTGCTTTGATTTTGAATCCCATCGGAGACTTTGAATTTTGTCTAGTGAGGAAGCTATCCAGCTAGTTTACAGAAGGCCAGTTGCCAGTTTGTGCCTGAGATAATAAGATAAAAATGAAATTTTGTTCCTCTCTATGTCCAGTTTATTCTCAGTAGAGATCATTTATCTTGCTTTTTTACAAGCCAAATATTTTAATTGATAAAAATTAGGAAGTTTGTCATTTATTTTATCTTACTAATTTGTAAGTATTTATATTTGTACATGTATGCAAATATTTTTTTCAGAAACTGCCTCACTGTCACATGGTGTTGCCATTGGATACTCCTCACCTCTCACTCTCACAGATCAGGTTTGAACCTTCATTAAGACATTCAAGTGAAGATAAGCAGATGTGTTTCTTACACTCTGAAAGCTAACAGGGATTTAGAATTTCAGAGCTATTCTATCAGTATGACATAATGCCACCTTGCTCATTTGTGCAGTCTGGTGCTATTAAATTTTAACATTTTGATAAACATATACAAAACCCTCCTATTAGCAATGGATTGTTTCAGATTCCAAATAGGACAGTTCCATTATACAAAGTCATAGATGAAAGGGTTAAACTGTTTCCTATGATTACCATTTGACATTCAAAATATTTATTTATTTTACAAAAATTAGTTATAAACTGCAGTATTTGTTTCTGTATTTTGTATATATTCCTTGTGTAAATGTATTTCTTTCTGATAATGTATTTACTGTACTAGTGTATTTATTGTATTAGTGTATTTATTGTATTAGTCTATTTATTGTATTAGTTTATTTATTGTATTAGGGTATTTATTGTATTAGTCTATTTATTGTATTAGTCTATTCATTGTATTAGTGTATTTATTGTATTAGTCTATTTATTGTATAAGTGTATTTATTGTAATGTTTTATTTTCAGTCGAGCAAGATCAAGAAAGGTAGTCAAGGAGATATTAGTGTTCTAAAACCTACTCTGATGGCTGCAGTACCTGTAAGTTTATCTCCCTTTACATATCTAGTTCTGTAGTTCTTCAAGTCTACAATAACTGTGTTATATCTCCAGACTGTTAGCCTACTGAATATTATAAATGGACCTGTGCTTCTGTCAGTCTGGATAAACCATTCATCATATTTAATATGTAATTGTACTGATTGAAAAGCAAACAGTGCAGACCATGATCAGAAGGCACCTATGTGCTAGATGATCTTGGTCTACAATGGTAACATGGGTGCAATCAATTGCTGCTCGCTGGCTAAGGATTAAATGTAAATTCTAAAGAAATATATATTGTATTAAGACAAAGGAAAAGTTAAAAAATAAAGAGTGTGACATACTGCTACCTGGTAGCACAGCACTGTCTTAATGAAAACTAGCGGTACACAAACAAAAACACACTCTTATTTTAACAGTAATCAAAGCCAGTAAAATATGTGAGAAGAAATATTCTATTATATTAGAATAATTATCTGTTAAAAACAAATATGAAGAACAGCTTAATATAAATCCGGAAACTGGTTCTGCAAGAGTGAACAATTTACACTTTTAATGACCAAATTTAACCTTCAATTTGCACATTGCTTATGTCACCAGGTAGTATTGTATTGTGTTTTCGGAGGAAGTTAGAGCTCAGGTTTTTTAGCTCACCTGTCACAAAGTGACAGGGTGAGCTTTTGTGATCGCTTTTCGCCCGGCGTCCGTCCGTCGTCCGTCCGTCCGTAAACTTTTACTTTAAATGACATCTCCTCATAAACCACTAAGCCAATTTCATCCAAACTTCACAGGAATGTTCCTTTGGTGGTCACCTTTAAAAATTGTTCAAAGAATTTAATTCCATGCAGAACTCTGGTTGCCATGGCAACCGAAAGAAAAAACTTTAAATATCTTCTTTTAAAAAACCATAAGAGCTAGAGCTTAGATATTTGGCATGAAACATCTTCTAGTGAGTGTCTATCAAGTTTGTTCAAATAAAAGCCCTGGGGTCAAAATTGGCCCTGCCCCGGGGGGTCATTGATTTTCCCTATATGCATATAGTAAAAACTTAAAAAATCTTTTTTTAAAGAACCCAAAGAGCTAGAGCTAAGCTATTTAGCATGAAACATGTTCTAATGGGTGTCTACCAAGTTTGTTCAAATAAAAGCCCTAGGGTCAAAATTGGCCCCGCCCCGGGGGGTCATTGATTTTCCCTATATGCATATAGTAAAAACTTAAAAAATCTTCTTTTAAAGAACTCAAAGAGCTATGGCTAAGATATTGAGCATCAAACTATTCTAATAGGTGTCTACCAAGTTTGTTCAAATAAAAGCCCTGGGGTCAAAATTGGCCCCGCCCCAGGGGGTCATTGATTTTTCCTATATGCATATAGTAAAAACTTAAAAAATCTTCTTTTAAAGAACCAAAAGAGTTAGAGCTAAGATATTTAGCATGAAACATGTTCTAATAAGTGTCTACCAAGTTTGTTCAAATAAAAGCCCTGGGGTCAAAATTGGCCCCGCCCCGGGGGGTCATTGATTTTCCCTATATGCATATAGTAAAAACTTAAAAAATCTTCTTTTAAAGAACTCAAAGAGCTATGGCTAAGATATTTAGCATCAAACATGTTCTAATAGGTGTCTACCAAGTTTGTTCAAATAAAAGCCCTGGGGTCAAAATTGGCACCGCCCGGGGGGGGGGGGGGGGTCAGTGATTTTCCCTATATGCATATAGTAAAAACTTATAAAATCTTCTTTTAAAGAACCCAAAGAGCTAGAGCTAAAATATTTAGCATGAAACATGTTCTAATGGGTGTCTACCAAGTTTGTTCAAATAAAAGCCCTGGGGTCAAAATTGGCCCCGCCCCAGGGGGTCATTGATTTTCCCTATATGCATATAGTAAAAACTTAAAAAATCTTCTTTTAAAGAACTCAAAGAGCTATGGCTAAGATATTGAGCATCAAACATGTTCTAATAGGTGTCTACCAAGTTTGTTCAAATAAAAGCCCTGGGGTCAAAATTGGCACCACCCCAGGGGGTCATTGATTTTCCCTATATGCATATACAGTCTAACTTGCCCATACGACCACGTGTATTAAGCGACTTTTGTCTTAAACGACCACTTTAGATTCCCCCCGATCATTTTCTCTCTATATCTTTAATGTATTAAGCGACTTTTGCTCAACGCGACCAACGACCGCTAATTAGTCACCTAATTGACATCAATCTTTTCATTAAACGACCACTTTTACCTGTCAAGTAACTGTGTTTTTAGAGAACGCCACCTCGTTATGTCACAAGTGTCAACAATCAAAACACAACAATAAACGTGTGAAAAGCTATTTCCCATACCGTTTTAGCGTATGCAAATGAAGTTAAGTATACGCGTGATGTGTATTAACCAATAATATCGGATAAACAATGCAGCTCTCCGCCCATACTGAGATGGTGTATACGCTTCGCTTGTTGACATTTAGACTGCATTGAATTGACCTTGAACTTGATCAGCCATTAAATTAATCGTAACAAATAGATGTAGTTTGTTTATTTCAAATGAAAAATGCACAACAGAAAACATCCTCACTAATAGGGTTTTCGTGTTGGAGACAAGGAAAAACAACGGAGAAGCTAAAATATTCTGGAAAAAATGTCAAACATGTACGTAATGGATCTTGAAACTGTTTTGTCAATAAATATCAGAAAGTTATTTTTTACATTTGCATCCATTTAGATTATCGGAGCGTACTTTTATATAAAAATGAAGTTGAAAAACAATCCCACCGAATAAAAAAAATGTCATTTATAAACTTTGACTTTTATATCATGCTGACTGTCTTAAGAGACCGTTTCATTAAGCGACCGTTTTGGGTGTTTCCCTTGCCCGGTCGCTTAATACACGTTTGACTGTAGTAAAAACTTAAAAAATCTTCTTTAAAAGAACCAAAAGAGTTAGAGCTAAGATATTTAGCATGAAACATGTTCTAATAAGTGTCTACCAAGTTTGTTCAAATAAAAGCCCTGGGGTCAAAACTGGCCCGGCCCCAGGGGTGTCATTGTTTCTAACTATGTGTGTATAGTAAAAACTTTAAAAAATCTTCTTTTAAAAAGCCCAATGAGCTAGAGCTTAGATGTTTAGCATGAAACATCTTCTTATGGGTGTCTACCGAGTTTGTGCAAATAAAAGCCCTTGGGTTAAATTGGCCCTGCAACGTAGGGGGGGGGGGTGGGGGGGGGCTATATACAGGTGAGCGACCTCAGGGCCACCATGGCCCTCTTGTTGTATGTTTTATTAATAAATGTCTATTATTAAAAAAAAAGACAATTAAAAAAAAAACTTGAATTCAGTTCGGAAACTGATACCAGACCAGTATAGTGGTAACAGTAAATAGAACACTAGTGTGTCATACTGAATCTTTTATAAACCTTACAAAGGTTTTAGGTGCAATGACACAAAAATGATCTAATGGTCTATTTCATGTACATTGCTTATGATTTGTCAGTCATGTTTGAATAATTCATTTTGCACAAACACTTTAATAATAGTTCCTATATGTTTACATTGTTTTAGTGATCGTCATTTTTCAGGTGATTATGGATAGACTGTATAAAGGTGTATGGGACAAAGTAAAGTCTGGTAGTCCATTTAGTCGTGCTCTGTTCCAGTTTGCCTATGAATACAAGAAGAATTCCCTAGAGAAAGGTTACGATACACCAGTTTTTAACAAGTATGTTCCTACATTATAATGTATATATAACATTATACCCCCAAAAATGAAGTTTGGGGGGGGTATATAGTAGTCACCCGGTGGTTGGTCGGTCGGTCGGTCCAGCGGTCCGTTGCATTTTCCTTGTCCGAGCATAACTTGAAGACTAATAGTTGGAATTCAATATAACTTCATACAATGGTCAAGCACATTGAGAGGAAGTGCAGTGCACAAGAACCATAACTCCATCTTGACTAATTACAGAGTTATTGCCCTTTGTTACTTTTCCTTGTCCGGAGCATAACTTGAAAACTACTGGTTGAAACTCGAAACAACTTCATACAATTGTCAAGCACAATAAGAGGAAGTGCAGTGCACAAGAACCATAACTCTATCTAAAGTATTTACAGAGTAATTGCCCTTTGTTATTTTTCCATTGCTTTCTTTTGTCCGGACTATAACTTGAAGACTTATAGTTGGAATTCAATATAACTTCATACAATGGTCAAGCACATTGAGAGGAAGTGCAGTGCACAAGAACCATAACTCCATTTTGACTAATTACAGAGTTGCTGCCCTTTGTTTCTTTTCCTTGTCCGGAGCATAACTTGAAAACTACTTGTTGGAATTGAAAACAACTTCATACAATGGTCAAGCACAATAAGGGGAAGTACCATGCACAAGAACCATAACTCCATTTTGACTAATTACAGAGTTATTGCCCTTTGTTACTTTTCCATTGCTTTTTTTGTCCGGAACATAACTTGAAGACTAATGGTTGGAATTCAATATAACTTCATACAATGGTCAAGCACATTGAGAGGAAGTGCAGTGCATGAGAACCATAACTCCATCTTGACTAATGACAGAGTTATTGCCCTTTGTTACTTTTCCATTGCTTTTTTCTTGTCCAGAGCATAACTTGAAAACTACTAGTTGGAATTCAAAACTATTTCATACAATGGTCAAGTATATTGAGAGGAAGTGCAGTGCACAGAAACCATAACTCTTTTTTGACTAATTTAAAAGTTTTTGCCCTTACTTACTTTTAATTGTCCAGTGTATAACTTGAAAATTAATGGTTGGAATTCAATGAAACTTTATACAATGGTCAAGGGCAGTGAGATGAAGTGCAGTGCACAAGAACAATAACTCTATTTGGACTAATTACAGTTATTGCCTTTGTTACTTTTTTTGTCCAGTGCATAACTTGAAAACTAGTAGTTGGAATTCAATACAACTTCATACAATGGTCAAGCACAATGAGAGGAAGTGCAGTGTACAATAACCATAACTAAATCTTCAGTATGTATAGAGTTATTGCCATTTGTTCCTTTTCCTTGTCTTTCTGGACTTATTACAGAGTAATCTAATAAAACTTCATCAATGGCCAACCAATATTATTTCCACTATACAGTCAAAAATTGCCATAGTGACCCACTGTATTCAGTGACTTCCTGTATTTATGACCATTTCGAGTCCACCCAACGATTTGCGGTTATAAAGTTGCACTGTATTAAGCAACTCACTGTGTTACGTAACTACCATGATTTATACATCCATAAGGTGTATATCACTGTTCTTACTTCCTGTCTGGTTAAAGGAAATGTTGGAAACAAAGAAAAAATGTACATGTACAATATCATTCTGACATTATTTTAATAGTTTTATAGGCACTAAATGTTTAATAATCCATTTAACAATCAAATATTCAAATACAGTGTAAATTGTACATATATACAATATTTAACACTGTACTACTCACTAATACTGCTCTTACCATACATAAATGTTTTAACCCTACATGTATATTGCTCTATTTGTATTATGGAACTTTTTGATAATGTTTGGATGTTTGACAGTAAACCTGTATTTAAAGAATTCCTGTCTGATGTGACTTTCTTAAGAAAATACCGTAGACTGAATATCTCTTTGAGCTGCTTGAGTGGTTCTCTTGATTCCATGATCACATGTTTGTCTTGCTCAGACTATGAGTAGATACCAACTTATTGACCCTCCATTTTAAAGTCAATGGTTTGAGCAAGATAATTTTTTTCTGCTCATCATTGTACTTGTATCAAATACTTATTAAGGTGACATTCAGAATCCAGTTTTAAGATTTCCAACTTTAAAGGTGATTGTCATAATTTAAGGTCAATGGTAGGTGCCTGTTCTGTACATTCAGAATCCAGTTTTAATATGACCAATTTTAAAGGTAAGGTCAGAGTTCAAGGTTTTGAGGCTATATATCACTCACCCGTGCCGATTTTGCGACTCCGTAAATATGGTATTGGACTGCCGTGCATATATTTTGACGTGACATCATTAGCGTTATACACTATAGCGTAAAGACGCGCTAAATGTTAGCGTTTTACTATAACGTTACTTATTTCACTTTAAACGGTCTTTAATTTAGGTATGTGATAAATAGAATATTAAATTTGTGTAAGTTCATTACTGAATTTATTCAACTCTTTGAATAAAATAATATTATGCTCGCCAGAGGCTCGCATAATAAAATTCTATTCAACTTGTGCAATAAATTCAGTATTGAACTAACACTCATTCAATATCCCCTATATATCATTAACCACTTGAGGATGACTTGTGTTACATTGGTGAGAAGTTTGTTTCTTTGAAACAATAGGTAGCAGAACTCTGATTTCACACAACCCAATTTATAAAAATTCAGCTTCAGGTATACATAACCCTTCCTTTGCCACTTTCCATTTTTTGTCTATTTGGAAGAAAAAGTGCAGCTATTATGATATCTGCAGTGTTATTGTTGTTGTCATCATGCATAAACGTTAATATAACCTATTACTCAAACAGTTCTAAAGGTATCTATATGAAACTTCGAATACTTGCTTATCATGACAAAAAGCAGTTGTACGACAAGGGGCATAATTTTGAAAGCTATATTTTTGGAGTAATGCCCCCTTTTGTTCCCCAGCCTTTTTGAAGAAAAAAGTTGGATATAGAAAAAGGCTCTGTCCGTCCGTCAGATTTTCGTGTCCTGTCCATAACTACATATATGTCATTTATAATTGGAATTGAAAATAAATTGCACAAATGTTTGTTATAATAAGATTATGTGTCATGCACAATAACAGGAACCCTACCTCCAAGGTCAAGGTCACACTTGGTGATTAAAAGTCAACAATGTCTATTTGAGGGTATATGTTGTGTCCGGTTCATAACGTACTTATCCATGAAGAGATTTCGAAAATACTTGGCACAAATGTTCACAATAATGATATGATGTTGCATGCACAAAAACCAGTTGCCTACGTTGGAGGTCAAAGACTTACATAGTCTGTTATAGGGTATATTTTGTGTCCGGTCCATAACTTCTTTATATTTCACTAAATTTTTTTAAATGAATTTATTGTTACTTGCATGTGCAGATCTAGCATTGATCAAAATTTTGTACTGAAAGTCCAGATCCCATACCTAAATCTTTTGAAATAGCACAATTTTGTGCTTCATGTAAAAACTTCCCTTAGGCGGGAGACGTTGGTATCCCTGTTACAAATTCTAGTTAACATTTTTGTCATAAGTGGTTATTTTAACAGACACCATTAGTTTTGACACCATAAGGTGCTGTTGTTATGCAGGTCACTTTACAGTCTATGGTGATGGTAGTTTTATATTCCAGGCATACTTTTCAAATTAGGCTACTGACACTTTGTTTATATTTGTTTTAATGAATGAATCCATTGTTTATGTTAATTCACTCAATGTAGGGGGAAGTCAAAGGTAGGCATGAAATACCAAGAGACACCTTTAAAACGAAAAATGTAAAATAAAAAATGAACACAATTTTTTTTTCATCATAGGCTTTGCCTACTTTCATATTATAGACTGATTCCTGGAAGTAGTTATTTTCTCCATAAATTCCATAAATAGAATCTACTTCTGGGAATCACTTGAACAACAATAGACTTCCACTTCCATTCAAGGTCTCAATTAATTATTTACATGTTTAATTTATGTGCTGGGATTAGTTTCTAAAACTGACTTTCAAAAAAAAAAAAGGACTTTAGTTTCAAGTTTTTAATTTTTATGTGTTTTGCTTTATTACTTATTTATAAACTATTGACAGAAACTAGACCTGTGATAAAATATTGTAATTGTTGCGAGACTATACAAGAAGTACATTTAGTGTTAAGTAAAGAACATTTAAGTTAGATGTACTTTAAGTTTTAGTGTAGTTTAGGATCTGTGGTATAAGTTTAGATCTTTGGTACAGTTTATGATCTTTGGTACAGTTTATGATCTTTGATGTGGTTTATGATCTTTGGTACAGTTTATGATCTTTGATTTGGTTTATGATCTTTGGTACAGTTTATGATCTTTGAAGTAGTTTATGATCTTTGGTACAGTTTATGATCTTTGATGTGGTTTATGATCTTTGGTACAGTTTATGGTCTTTGATGTAGTTTATGGTCTTCAGTGTGGGTTATGATATTTTTTCAGGTTATAAGTAGTGTTGGGTATCGGGCTCAAAAATCACTATCGATAATCGGACCACCACAATCGATAGTCTGCCGATAGTATAATCGAGTTTCGCACTTATTATGGACCTATTTTCTTTTAAGGTACCAATCCTTGTATGTATTTTTTTATACAGTAGTGACCACATTTTGAGAATAAATAAACTCTTGTCTCCAAGATTAAAGTATGATTTGCTTTTGAATTCAAAATAAACAACACAAATACCTAATACTACTTTGTGACAGTCAGTTATTGTATAATACAACTTTATGGCAGTCAATATTAGTACTAGTCAACAGGTCACAATGTAAATGAGTAGTATTGTAGATCACTCATTTAACAACAGTAGATAATCATATATAAGTTTATAATGTTATGTTATTACACACTATAATTTTCTAAAGTAGTATTAACCATGATAAATAGGTTTTGAATACAAAAAGACTTTAGGATTGTCTGGAATTAAAGAGATTCAGTCGGGAAATTTCCATTTGACTGCAAGTAAAAAAGTTACGCCCTAAGCAATTCATGGGTGGTAGAACATTAGAACAATCGATTTTTAAAAAGGACTATCGATAGTTGCTGATTTTGGGGTGGTCCGATTAGTTATCGATTTTCAGAGACAATCGGGACAACACTAGTTATAAGGCAACTCCATTTAGGTGTCACCATCCCTGGCCTTTCTGATCATATGGTGTAGTGCACTAGAAGTGTACAAGGCTGGGAAGTTTATTGTGAACTCAACAGTAGTACTGGTAAACTGCTTGTGCCCAGGAAAGATGTGGTAGCTGAACTTTGCTGTTGTTTATTCAATCTGGCTTATTGCTGTGATCCAGAGTGAAAACTACCTATAACACCACAAACCATATAAGATTGAAAAACTTAATGTGTTAGAAAATTATAAATGTTCCTTTACTATGAACCCCAAATTTTACAAAACTATTATACATGTATCTAGTTGATAATGTGAGTCTGTAAATTTAAAACAGTTGTAGTGGAACCTGCATGGCTGCAATAATAAATAGAGATTATTTCCCACTTAAACTTGTGTATACAAATACACCCAAATTTTTTGGGGTACATTTTTTATACATTATTAATTATTTAAAGAAAATTATTGTTTTGTTTCATTTTAATTAAAAAAAAAGACCAAAACATCCGAAATAAACCAAATCAATATTACAGACTATTTAGGTGAATTCCCCAGATCTAACATCTGGAATATACAGAAAGTACCTGAAAACAGTCTTTACCTAGGTTTTTTGCTACAAATTGAGACAGTTTATTGTGCTATACACACATTTAAAATCAGCATTATTTCAGCATCATGACAAAACCAACATATGGGTTTGCGACCAGCATGGATCCAGACCAGCCTGCGCATCCGCGCAGTCTGATCAGGATCCATGCTGTTCGCTAACCAACCCTATTTCAAGTAGCAAAACTGATGGCGAACAGCATGGATCCTGATCAGACTGCGCGGATGCGCAGGCTGGTCCGGATCCATGCTGGTCGCAAACCCATTATGTTGATTTTGTCATGACACGGCTCATTTTGTAATTTCAGAATTTTGTTCAGTAAGATACAGCAGTTACTGGGTGGTAGACTGAGAATGATGTTAAGTGGTGGTGCGCCACTCTCGGAGAAAACACAGAGGTTTATGAACATTTGTTTCTGTTGCCCGGTATTACAGGGTTATGGCCTTACAGAGACCTGTGGAGCCGGAACAGTCTGTGATGGTTTGTAAATAAATACCTTACAAGTGTTAAATATGTAAAGAAATGCAGTTTCTTACCTGAATTAATTACCTAAGGTGTCATATGACTATATCAACATGGATGTTTTGCCAGAAGGGCTCAAACCCTTGTCTTTAGAGGCTAGCATCTTCGCCACTTTCAGGAGTCTGCTCCTATATAGAATATGGATGTTTAGTGCATTAGTTTGAGTTATGCATGTCAATTTATAAGATATAGAATGGTATAATGATTATTAGGCGGAAAGTATTTGAGATTTTTTAATTCACATAAACATTGAGAGGAGTGTTTTATTCCCAATTTTATATATTATATTTTAAATATATGGTATGTTGTTTATGTGTATGTGTTTTCTATTGTATTTCAGTAAATGATATGAGTACAGGGCGTGTTGGACCACCTTTGACATGTTGTGAAATCCGACTCAGAGATTGGCTAGAAGGTACAGTATTTATACTCAGGGAAAATAGTGTAATGAAATAGTGCCAATATTATATGAAGGTCACAAAAAAATAGTGCAAAGTTTGTTAATATCTATTTATATGACATGATTCAGAAGGTCATTATCTATGTCATCTCACTTGCTCATATAATTTAATACATTCTGTTATGATAAATATTGTCAACAATAATAGGTAACCACGGAAGTACTTATTACATGTGGTTAAGATGTCCCTGAAGAATTGGGATAAATGAAATTAAGTGCCTAGCATTGCAGTGTGGCTTGGTTTTGGAAAAAAAAATTGATAATAAAATTAATGCCAATGCTGGCCACATATTGTATTTGATGTACACCAGTTTGGATATTATAGTATATCAACTGTGCACTGAAAAACATTTGACATAGCCATGTTTGTTGAATCTTTTAACATTTGAGCCGCGTCACAACAAAACCAACATAATGGGTTTGCGACCAGCATGGATCCAGACCAGCCTGTGTATCCGCGCAGTCTGATCAGCATCCATGCTGTTCGCTATTGGTTTCTCTACTTGTTGTAGAGTTTGAAGGCGAACAGCATGGATCCTGATCAGACTGCGCAGATGCGCAGGCTGGTCTGGATCCATGCTGGTTGCAAACCCAATATGTTGGTTTTGTCATGACGCGGCTCATCTGAGCTCCAGATACTATATGTGATAAAACTATCCAGCTAGCTTGCGCAACATCAGTGGTTCTTCTCAGATGCCTGTTTGTGCCTGAAAATAATGTAGGGAGGGGCACCTGAGGTCTTCCTCTACCCGTAAAGCTGGAAAGTCACCATGTGACCTATACTGTGTCAGTGCAAATTAAAACCCAATCAGAACAAAAAAAAAAAAAACAGAAACTAGTACAGCAAATCTTCATCTGTATCAGAATTAACTTAACATTTTTTTACAGGAAATTACCTAAATACAAACAAGCCTTACCCCCAGGGTGAAATTCTGATAGGTGGTGGCAATGTTGTACAAGGTTATTATAAGAACAAGGAGAAAACAGAGGAAGATTTCACTGTCATTGATGGTTTACAATATTTCTGTACCGGTGATATAGGGCAAATAGAGAGTGACGGAAGTTTGAGGGTGATTGGTGAGCACTGACATGCTTTATATTCACTTCAATTTACTCTAGTGTCTAGAATTTAGTGATATAGTGTCTAGTGATTTATTACGAGTTCAATATCTACACAGAATATACAGATTATTTCTTTTTATAGATTTTCAGGTCTGTTGATTATTTGGTCAAAATACTTGAAGTACCCTATTAATATGATCTGAAAATTTGGTTAAAATATTGGAATGTGCTTATTTTGTGATCTTGAGATTCTGTAATTATAATTCTGAAAATATGTTGAATGTTAGATCTAAGTATTCACCTGAAAATACTTGGGTTATACAGATTTTCTAGGCTGAAGATTTTGCTCAACAAACTTGGAATTGATTAGCTAAATTTCAGGTCTGAAGACTTTTGTAGAAATGTTTGAAATTTTTTATCTAAGTAAGTTTCAAGAAAGATAAAATATTGTAAATTTCAGATCGTAAGAAGGATCTTGTGAAACTACAGCATGGAGAATACATATCTCTCAGCAAGATTGAGACAGCATTAAAGATGAGTCCACTAGTAGAACAAATCTGTATCCATGCCAACAGTTCACAGTCTGTGTGTATAGCGCTGATTGTACCCAGTCAGAAAAACCTTACAGAGCTGGCAAAGAAAGTGGGCGTGACTGGAAAAGAGATAGAAGACTTATGTGAAGATGAGAAGGTGGAGAAGGAGGTGTTGAAAGAGTTAGCTGTTGTTGGTAAAAAAGGTAGGTCATTTGACAAAAGTTTAATATAAGAAATATGAAATAAATGTCTCAAAGAGTTCAATCATATTTATTTTCTTTTTAGCTCACCTGTCACAAAGTGACAGGGTGAGCTTTTGTGATCGCTTTTCGTCCGTCGTCCGTCCGTAAACTTTTACTTTAAATGACATCTCCTCATAAACCACTAAGCCAATTTCATCCAAAACTTCACAGGAATGTTCCTTTGGTGGTCACCTTTAAAAATTGTTCAAAGAATTTAATTTTCCATGCAGAACTCTGGTTGCCATGGCAACCGAAGAAAAAACTTTAAATATCTTCTTTTTAAAAAAACCATAAGAGCTAGAAGCTTAGATATTTGGCATGAAACATTTCTAGTGAGTGTCTACCAAGTTGTTCAAATAAAAGCCCTGGGGTCAAAATTGGCCCCCCCCCGGGGGGTCATTGATTTTCCCTATAAGCAATACTAGATAAAAAACTTCAAAAATTTCTTTTAAAGACCCAAAGAGTATGCCTAAGATATTTAGCATGAAACATGTTCTAATGGATGTCTACCAAGTTTGTTCAAAAAAAAATCCTGGGGTCAAAATTGGGCCCCGCCCCGGGGGGTCCTTGATTTTCCCTATATGCATAAGTAAAAGAACTTATAAAAATCTTCTTTTAAAGAACCCAAAGCAGCTAGAGCTAAGATATTTAGCATGAAACATGTTCTAATGGATGTCTACCAAGTTTGTTCAAATAAAAGCCCTGGGGTTCAAAATTGGCCCCGCCCCAGGGGGTCATTTGATTTTCCCCTAATGCATATAAAAAACTAAAAATAATTTCTTTTTAAAAAAACCCAAAAGAGTTGAGCAAAGATTTAGCAAGAAAACATGTTTCTAATAAGTTGTCTACCAATTTGTTCAAAATAAAAGGCCTGGGGTCAAAATTGGCCCCGCCCCGGGGGTCATTTATTTTCCCTATATGCATATAGTAAAAACTTATAAAATCTTCTTTTTAAAAGAACCCAAAGAGTAGAGCTAAGATATTTTAGCATGAAACATGGTTCCTAATGGGTTGTTCTTACCAAGTTTGTCAAAATTTAAAAGCCCCTGGGTCAAATTTGGTTTCCGCCCCGGGTGTTCATTTGGATTTTTCCCGCATATGCATTTTATAGTAGTAAAAAAATTAAAAAATTCTTCTTTTAAAAGGAACTTCAAAGAGCTATTTTGCTAAGATATTTGAGCATTCAAACATTTCTATTAGGGTGTCTACCAAAGTTTGTTTCAAATAAAAGCCCTTGGGGTTCAAATTGGGCCCCGCCCAGGGGTCATTTGATTTTCCCTATATCATTATAGTAAAAACTTAAAAATCTTCTTTTAAAGAACTCAAAGAGCTTTATTGCCTAAGATATTTAGGCTGAAACATGTGTCTAATAAGTGAACTTACCAAGTTTGGTCAAATAAAAGCCCTGGGGGTCAAAATTGGCCCCGTCCCGGGGGTCATTGATTTTCCCTATATGCATATATAAAAACTTAAAAATCTTCTCGTAAAAACTCCAAGATCTTAGGGCTAAGGATTAATTGAGCATCAAACATGTTTCTTAATAGGTGCTCTACCAAGTTTGTTCAAATAAAAAGCCCTGGGGTCAACATTGGCCCCGCCCCCAGGGGGTTAAACATTGATTTTTCCTATATGCATATAGTAACTTTAAAAAATCTCTTTTTAAAGAACTCAAAGGCTATGGCTAAGGATATTTAGCATGAAACATGTTCTAATAAGTGTCTACCAAGTTTTGCGTTCAAATAAAAGGCCTGGGGTCCAAAATGGCCCCGCCCCTGGGGGTCATTGATTTTCCCTATATGCATTATAGTAAAAACTTGTTGTGGGTTGGGGGGCCTATTATAACGGTGTGAGCGACCTCAGGCCAATCCAATGGCCCCCCTCTTGTTTTTTTTTAAACGTTGTTCTCATTGTTAAGTGTGTACAGGGTATTGTCTTTCAAACCTTTTTGCCCTCGGGTTTACTTAGTGAAGCTTACAAAAACATTATCAAATTAGCTTTTTAGTGTCTTAGTAACTTCAAATCCAAACTCAACCTGGTTAAACCTTGTCTGTAAAATTTTATCAAGTTGTATGTGTTGAATTGTGTGTTTCATGTTTGAATTATGTTTAACATTTTTGTTATTTTGGTGCACAATGTTTGATATTAGACTTGTATTATATCTGTTTCATATTTGTTTTTTAATGTGTTTATTGTGTCCACAAATAAAGCTTCCATATTTACCTTATCAATATTAAGTGACAGATGCAGTCTTAAAAGACAAACAGTTCTAAATTAATGTTACTGGTATCCTTTCCTAGATAAATTTTGTCCCGCAACTATGATATTAGTAAACAATAAGCTCGATATTAACAACCTCTGTTTTTTTAATTGCCAGCAAAATTGGAGAAAGTTTTAAATTTCCTGCTCAAGTTAAAGTTGTTGCCCAGAACCTTAGGATGCCACGATTACTGACTGGTTACAGATGCATTTTAAACTGAAAACGTTAAAACATTTTTGAAAAACATTTAAAAACCCAGTCTGCAGAGGATGCTACTCATTGCATAAAAAATAATTAACCATGATGAGATCAAACATGTACATATTATAATAGTGGTTTATTTTTTTAGATAAATACTGGATTTGCATATAATATTGCCCATATTCAATTGTGGAACCAATTATATTTAGATGTGCATTAATGCATGCATCACTATAATTGTTACCTTTAATTTTGGGGAAAGTTGGTTTATAACCTCTGTTTTGTAAGGTTTTATTGGCACTGATTACTTCTTTTTCCCTGTCTGTTCAAACAACTTTGACCCTGCGAAACATATCCTTAAGTATAAAAATCTTGTGCCATTTTTAGCCATTTGCTAAAATTCACTTATTTGGCTACTAAAATCACACAAATTTTTTTTTTTAATTGTCTCCTAAAGTCAGTCTAAAAATTTTCTTGATTTGCTTCTAAAAACCACTTAAAAATTTCTCCATTTTGTCTTCTAAAAACCACTAAAAAATTTCTAATTTTGCTACTTTTAATCACTAAAAATTTCCTCTAATTTGACTACCTTAACCACTAACTTCTCTAAATTGTCTTCTAAAATCATAAAAAAATCTCTTTTTGCTCTTCTTAAACCACTCAATTTCTCATTGTCTCTAAACCACTACAATTTTCTCTATTGGTTACTTAGTCACCTTAAAAACCCATTAAAGTTGGATAAAGGATTTTTTCAGCAAGAGATGTCCTCATTGATTTTCATTACTGTACTTTACTATTGAAATGTAACAAGGTGCTTTGTACTTTTATTGTAAACATATTATAGGCTATGTAGGTGTTTTGTAATAAGATGGAATGGAGTTTGTTTAAATATTTTGTATATTTTGAAATACCATAATCATGGATGTTGGCCATGTTCTCTGTTGTTTGCGGCAGATAGATATGGAATTTTGTTACAGTATGTTGGCCCCTTGAATTTAAAAAAATTAAAATAAAAATCTTTCTTTTATATGCCTAATGTGACAAAGTGCATGGCATTTATTTCACAAATTGATAATTATTTTTGGAATCTTTTCTGTGAAATATTTAATGTAACTTTCCAGAGAGAAATTCCATCAATTTGATTACAATTAATAAATAAATTTAATTTGGGGCGATTGCTGATTTTTGATCTTGAATCTATAGAACTTGGTAGGGATTAGCTTTTCATTAACCACTATATGACTCGCTTAGGTGAAGCGTATCTGCGAGTATAATCAGATCTTATAAGTTGAGCTGACCAAACTCTAAATTTTGGACTTTGATATCCCCTTAATTTGATAACGACAGTTTCTTTAATAATTAATGAAAATTTGCGAATGGATAAATGGCAATTGAGTAGATTAATTAATCATATATATTGAAATGAATATTAATATGGGTTGTTTTTTTTTATTTTGTAGGCTTTTACTATTTGTAATTTCTTGTTGTATTCTGCATTGAAAATATTTGGATAATTGATTTTTTTATTCCACATAATTTACTTACTTTTTTATTTGCTAGTAACATTGGTTGGCAGTGTTTTATTTTAATGAAATGATAATAAATACACAAAGTCCCATCACTGTTTTCATATAATATATTTTAAACATTTGTTATTTTTCTTTCAAGAATGTTGTCAAGTCCTGTAATAAGTATTGTCCGGGACTTTTAAATAAAACCTGTAGATATGTTGGCAACTTTATATGTAACACGTATTGGGCTGTAAAGTGATCTTTGTGAAAAAAAAAAATATTTTTCATTGAAGTCTATTTGTAAAAAGTTAGATTATATTGTACATCAATGAGTCTTACTTTTTGATTTTAGAAAATCCCCAACCCAACCTTAAACTTTGAAGTGTAACATTTAAATTATTTTAACGTATAAAGGTTATAAAAGATTCTTTACAGTTTTGCTGCTTATCAAAAAATGATATGAGCCGTGTCATGACAAAACCAACATCTATGGGTTTGCGACCAGCAATGGATTCAGACCAGTCTGCCGCCTCCGCTTCAGTTGATCAGGATCCATGCTGTTCGCTATCAGTTTCTTACTTCGTAATAGGGTTTGTAAGGAACCGGCACTATGTTGGTTTTGTTGTGGTACTCGGTCATATGTGGAATCATGAAATGTCCTTTGCATGTAAAGATGACAGACATGTTTTACATTATGTTGTTTTGTCCCAAGTTGTAAAACTTGAAAAAGTCCATTTCTTTTATATATTTACTAGTAGACTTGCTTTAAATTTTTGTTAAAAACATGTGTATATGTTTTTGTTGCATTTGTTGTAGTTGCTTTTATTATGAAAATAAATTCTTATTGAATTACCTGAAATAAAATATATTCAGTGCTAGATTGAAATGTTTTTGCTGTGGTTTTGTTTGATATAACGCCTGTTGTGATATTATTTTAGTAATACTAATAATCAGCAACCTTTCAAGTGTTTACAGTTTTATGTAAATTGGCTAACTTGTGTATCTCCCTTTGCTACACTGCTAATAATTTCATAGTGAACTGGTTGACCTTGGTTTGCACACAAAGAACACGTGGTTATGTTTAGTGATACTGTTTGTGAGCAGTTGACCTAGCAATGAATGGAAAAGGTTGTGGCTAAATGGTTCCGCTACGAAAAACCGGAAATAAAAAAAAAATTCGTATTCTCAACTCCCTATTAATCATTTTGAAAAAAATAACATTGTTAGGGAACTACAGCGTTTGAACTAAATATTTATAATGACAATCAAATAGGCTTGTGACAATTGTTTTGCCATATCTGAGAACATTAAAGCTACAAAATATTAATAGATGCAAGTACTGTTGGTCATTCATTATGTCCTCTGTTATTGGCCTTTCCCGGTGTTTAGCAGTTTTGTAAAATTTAGCCCCTCACTTCCTTCAATTTCTATTCATTTCTAGGTACATTATTCACAAAACAATACCATATGTTTTTCTTCCTGTGCTTTGATTTAACAAGAATTTGTGCTGCCAACAATTCAGAGCCTGATCAGCCCGCACCGGTGCCGGGGTAATGCTAGGAGGTTTGGCACTAGTCTGGTGGGTCAAAAGGCTTATCGCTCGATTCCAGCGAGAAAGAAAATGATTATAACACCACCTTTTTTGGTTTTTCGGTCTGCGTTAATGTTCAACGTCAAAAGTTGAGCCGCGTCATGACTAACCAACATAGTGGGTTTGCGACCAGCATGGATCCAGACCAGCCTGCGCCTCGCGCAGTCTTGATCAGGATCCATGCTGTTCGCTATCCCAGTTTTTGCTTACTTGTAATAGAGTTTTGAAAGCGGAACAGCATGGATTGCTGATCAGACTGCGCGTATATTTAGTTTTGGAAAAGAGTGTTTGCCAATTTGTATTTGATTCTTAATTCTCTATATTAATGGACAGCATAAAAAAAGAAAATGATTACCTTTGATTCAACAGTTGGATGAGAACAAATTTACATAATCCTCGCATTTCTATCAATAAATGAAAAGATACCGCAATTAACGGCTTAAAATGTGATTGTTCAAGTGCCCATTTGTTAAATCTGATCAATGTATTGAGGTGAACAATTTAACTATACAGTTACTATCCAATGATAAAATTACAAAAAATGCTGATCAAAAAATGATGTTGTTTACATTCAATTTATATATTTCTTGTATTTAGAATGTACACTTAATTTTTTAAATCTGAGAAAGAAGTTTATTTAGTTCACAATTTAATGTCCTATCAAAAAGTATGTCAGTTTAATGATTAAAACGATTGACATTTACAATAAATGTAAGTTTTAAATGCTCAAATTTATGACTTACATTACGACATTTGTTGATGATTGTCACGTTTCCTTTTTTATAAAATGTTCTGGGCGGGTGGGGGGGGGGGGAATCATTAACCATAGCCCGTTCTTCATGATAATACCCAATTACATCTACTCGGCCCTTTTCCGTCAAACTTCGGGAGTTTGACTGAATAAATATTGTCACGATTATCCATAAAGCCAGTCCGCATAGGCTAAATCGGTTAGAGCGCGGAGGACTTTGTAATCTTCGCATTGCGGGTTCGATTTCCCGGGCTGGCCAGCTTAAAGTTACTATTCAGTCTTTCGGATGAGACTTTTAAATCGACGTCACGCTAAAGAACCAGGAGAAGCTTCTGGAATCGGGGCGTCTTTCTGTATCTGTAATTGCCACTTATCCTCTAAAATCTTAAAATGACTTATTACTCTTTCTGGAGGATACGCCAATTTATGGGCAACAGGTGCGAGTATAAATAAACGGAAATACACTCACACACAAAGAAGCACAAAGGTTGTTAAATATCAAATTTTATATAGCTAGAATGTCCCCTCCTACGAAGATCGCATTGTGTTCACAAAATAGTGCATTATACATTACAATGGTTTTAAATTTGTTATATTCATGCTATATTATTTTAACTGTCCAGGTAAAAGGGAATGATGTGACCTTGCTCACACATTACATGTATTTACTTTTCATTTGTCTTGGAATAAATCCATGATGTACACGTTATTTCGAACCTTTCAGGCCTTATAATTTCGGTACCTATTGTAACCTTTTCACAACCATGCCCACTGGTTACTAAAGTACAAATAATAATATTATATATTATTTTGTTGAAATAGATCTGAAATTTAGCTCAACTAAGTTATTAGATTTTTAATGATTAATGGAACTGTAATTTGTTTTGGTTTTTAAAGTTTTGCATTGAAATCACTTAGAAAACAAGAAGTCCAAAATCACAATAGAATCTATGGAAAGACATTATTGTGCAATCAATTTATATATTGTGCTCAGTATTAAGAAATAACTATTGACGAGACTAATTAATACGTTCATAATATAGAGAAACGTTACCACAGCCAATGAAATTGTCGGTAGTTAGAACAAAACATGGTATCACTAGTAAGTAAAAATGTTAATGTTTAAGACGGGGAAATCAA